TAACCAGCGCTTTGTGGACAGTCTGTAGAAGCAAATCCATGCTATACATGTAAAGCACATGACTTCCCCCAAAGAATCCTGGGGAATGTAGTTTGTTAAGGGTGCTGGAAGTGGTAGTCCTTTGAGGGGGAAACCACAGCTCCCAGGATTCCTTGGGCAAAGTCCTGTGCTTTAAGCACATTTATTGGCTAAGCTTTAACTGTATAGTGTGGATCTTCTAATGATAATCTAAAGCAGTGTTTCCCAACCTTGGGCCTCCAGCTGTTTTTGAACTACAATTCCCATCATCCCTGACCACTGGTCTTGCTAGCTAGGGATGATGGGAGTTGTAGTCCAAAAACAGCTGGAGGCCCAAGGTTGGGAAACACTGATCTAAAGCAACCTACTGTGTCCCTGTGCTCACCTGGCTCAGTATTGCTCCCTCCGGCTAGGAGTCTCTCCTAGCCCTACCTGGAGTTGCCAGGGCGGGGTGTGTGGGATTGAACCCGGGACCTTCTGCATGCAAAGCAGGAGCCCTACCCCTGAGCTGCATCCCAAAAGGTCTCAGGTTCAGTCTTCAGCATCTCTGTGTAGGGCTGGAAGCTGTGAACAGGGCTGGCAACAGGGTTTCCTGTGTGTGGATCCACAAAATTTGCAGAAATGTTGTATACGCTTTATGTCACATGCAGATTTGTATCCTACTTTTGCAGGGGCAAGCACCCAAAATAAATCTGTGTTGCTTCAAATGTGCTTTAGACTGAGGTATAGCATTAACAGCCTGTGTTGCTGTTATCAAATTCAGCAGAAGGAAGATGGGAGGCAAAACTATAGTTACGTAGGTGCCATTGGCTCAGGCACAACCTACTGTTGGGCTCCCTGCTTTTTGCCCCACTAATTTCAATGCTCTCCGGCCACCTCTGCCTGAAAGAGACCGCTGCCAGAAACCTGGGAGACCTGCTGCCAGTATAGCACAGGGGTCACCAATATGGCACCCATGGGCACACATATGCCAACAGAGGCATTCCATCTCTGCGCTGTCCCCATTATTTTAACAACAGCAGCAGCAACAAATAAAAGGTTGCAGCTTGCATTTGGTGTTTTTGTTTGGGGGGGTGTGTGAATCCGTGGCAGTTTCTCTGGTTCACAAACATGCCCTGTGCCCTCAAATGGAGGGTCTGACTCAGTATGTCCCTGGCTGCCTCTAAAAGGCAGAAATTCAGCAGGTGCACTTTCCTGCATCGCTGAAAACGTGATTCCAGCTGACATTTCACCTGTCATGGAGCTATTAAGGCATGAGGTTCCTGTCAGGAAAAAAACCAGGCAAATCCTGAATAACTTGCATTGTGGCAGCTGCTGCTGCTGCTTTTACATGGGTTCTTTTTTATTATTCGACTTGGTCAGGGACAGGAAATAAGAGGAAGGTTTACACAACCACCAGAGGAAGACTTAGCAACTATCAGTAGGTGTTTGGTAGGCTGTGGCCCATGCTGGTGTATGTATGTGTTGTGTTTCTCTGGATCCGGCCTAGCACAGCCTCATGACAACAAGGGCCACACACTCCGTTGCCAAGCAACCACCACTTAAGGACAGCATCCCCACAAGCCCTTTGTGGCCTGGAGCCACTGTTGAAGATGAGATGAAGTATCTCACTGCTTGGAAGTTGTCCACCCTTCACCCTAAAGCCCCAGAGAGAGCTACAGCAATTTAAAACACAATGTTAAAAATAGTTTAAAAGAATTTTTTGGAAAATAAGAATTGCTGTGGGAACCAGCGCCGGCCCCCATGGGCCCAGGCATGCCTGAACCTACCCAAGTGCTCATTTGGGGCCTGTTTGCTGTGGCCTCCACCATCTGCCACTCTTCAGGTAGTAATCAGGGGGCGGGGTTTGTGGGGCCACAGACTTTGGCCTCTGGGCCCCAAAGTTGAGTCTCAGTTGCCCCACAAAGCCCCACTGAGCCTTGAAGAAGAAGAAGAAGAGTTTGGATTTGATATCCCGCTTTATCACTACCCGAAGGAGTCTCAAAGCAGCTAACATTCTCCTTTCCCTTCCTGTCCCACAACAAACACTCTGTGAGGTGAGTGAGGCTGAGAGACTTCAGAGAAGTTACTAGCCCAAGGTCACCCAGCAGCTGCATGTGGAGGAGCGGGGAAGCGAACCTGGTTCACCAGATTAGAAGTCTACCACTTTTAACCACTACAACACACTGGCTCTCGACATGGCAAGTCCTGCCTTAAGTGACAGGGATGCTGCTCAGGGAGTGCAGACACCCCTGGAGTTTCTCTCGCCACTTGGAGATTGGGGTGCACAAAACAGTATTACCTCTCATTCCTGTCCCTCCGTCTTCTTTAAAAACAAAATTCATTCTCAACGTTTGTGAGCCTTTGTGGGTATTATGCACCTCACCCTTTGTCTGAAATCCAGCATTAAACCTTGCAAGCTGCCAGATGAAGGGAAATTGCAGGGGTGCGTGTGTGCCGTGACTCAGGTGGACCCCAACTGGGAAAGAAAGAACAGCTCCTGCCTTCAGATGCGACCTAAACTGTGCACAATTCACCGGAGCAGAGTTTATGAAACTTAAAACGTTGCTGAATGACACAATCTGGGGGTGGGGCTCTGGAACACTTGACACGTTTGGGAACATTTGTTCCGACACCGCAGGTGTTCGGCAAAGCCTGTTTAAGAACAGAATATTGTTATTTAAAAATTGGAAGAGAAAGGCAATCAAAAGGGTTGCTTTTCCCTCTCTCCCCTCCCTTCCCACAAAAGCTCCTATGATTCCATTTAAGTGTTGGGGGTTGCGAAAGTACAACCTTTGAAGCGATTTGAAGGCAGAGCAAATTGAACAGAGGGAATCGTCCGGTTGGGAAGGGTCCAAAAGCAGAGTCCTCGTGGCCCTCAGCAGCTGTCCCCTCCCCTCTGGTCAATTTGTGCAACCCTGAACAAAAGCTTGAACCAAGTCTACAGATGCCGTGTTGTGACACTGCATTCTGCTAGACCTCATGGAGGAGTTGCTCGCGCAATTCTCCTTCCACCAAGGGTTCGGTCTTCAGTCACATCCATTATTTTTAAGGGGACTTCTCAAGAGTAGGCATTACACTGGATACAATCCTAAATAAATAGTAACAGGTGGTATTCAACAAAGTAATGTACTGAAATGATCCATTGATTTTAATGGGTCCACCCTGTAAAATTAAGCAGAATAGCACCCCAAGAAACAAAATAAATGGTGGATTAAAGCATTGCTTTTCCTTTGCATTACAGTTCGCAGTTAAAAGCTGCATCAAGTGGATTAGTAGTGCCACCTGGTGATCTGGCCAGTTTATGACAGGCTGACTTCTCCCACGAGCCAGAACTCCACAACTTCCCCTTCCTTTTACAAAGAGTTTTCCAGCCTGCTTTCATCTGCAAAGTCACAGGTCAATTCTCCCACCAGACAAGGATTGATGCTAACTTGTAAGGGCTTTTTTAAGCTTCTATTTTTCTTTCTTTTGTAAAATCAAGCAAGATACTAGTCCTCATAGTGCCAGAGAGCCATCTGACAGCAGGTAACGGCAACAGCCCCCAGAGATAAGGAGCGGACCTTTGGGCTTTTACTCTTATAACAAACAGGCGCTGTTGGTGAAACCTCAGTGCCTAGGACTTGCCGATCGTATGGTCGGCGGTTCGAATCCCCATGGCGGGGTGAGCTCCCGTCGTTCGGTCCCAGCTCCTGCCCACCTAGCAGTTCGAAAGCACTCTTAAGTACAAGTAGATAAATAGGGACCGCTTTATAGCGGGAAGGTAAACGGTGTTTCCGTGTGCTGCGCTGGTGCTGGATCGCCAGCTGCAGCTTCGTCACCCTGGCCACGTGACCCGGAAGTGTCTTTGGACGGCGCTGGCTCACGGCCTCTAGAGCGAGATGAGCACGCAACCCCAGAGTCGGACACAACTGGCCCGTACAGGCAGGGGTACCTTTACTTTTCTTTCTTTTGTAAAATCAAGCAAGATACTAGTCCTCATAGTGCCAGAGAGCCATCTGACAGCAGGTAGCAGTTGGCAACAGCCCCCAGAGATAAGGAGTGGACCTTTGGGCTTTTACTCTTATCACAAACCACCACTTCCACCCATGTGCAGCACCTTTGTCATCTCCACAGCAGAGTTGGAAGAGAAGGGGAAATGAATCTACTTGGGCTGACATAGCAGCGCATCCCAAACTTCTGATGGCCACAGCACCCTCTGCTACACCTGACGATGTCTGAAGGATGAGAGAAATCTGACATGCTTGATGTTTTAATGCAGGCACCCCCAAACTCAGCCCTACAGATGCTTTGGGACTACAACTCCCATCATCCCTAGCTAACAGGACCAGTGGTCAGGGATTATGGGAATTGTAGTCCCAAAGCATCTGGAGGGACGGGTTTGAGGATGCCTGTTTTAATACAAACCACTGGTTCCAAGTCCCATGAAAAACTCTTGGCAGGACTGGTCAGAGGATAAGGAGCAGAGAAAGCTTGGATACTATCAAAGTGGATAGTATCAGACCTGGGACCGGGGGAGGTACCTAAGTGGGTGCTAAGACACAAGGATGGTGGTGGTGGGGTGCTGGATCAACTTTACAGTTAGAACTACATAAATAGTTCTACATGGATTTTGAATCAATGTGCAATTGATGGGTTATGGTCTTGATCTTCCTTCATGTGTTGTGCAAACCGCTATTGTGAATGTTTTTTCTAGGATGGGGGCACTAGGGTTGAGTTTATGGAACCAAAGAAGCCATGGCCTGGGGAGGAAATGGGAACCACTGCTGCAGAACAGGACACTGGACTACATGGGCCTTTGGTGTGATGCAGCAGTCAGGTGCTTTCTCATGCTTTTATAGAGACTTCCTTAAAAGAAAAAGCAGCACCCAGCTGCAGTGAGGGCCCAGAGGAATGGGCACCAGTGAAAGCAAAGGGAGTGATTCCCCCCCCAAAGGAACTGGTTTGCAGGGGTGTTCCCTTGAGATCACTCGTTCAAGAAAAAGAACCCAGGCTACACAACATATGCCAACCTTAATTTATTGAATCAAATGATCAACCCTGTTTATTTGAGACACTAGTAGGAGGGAAAGGTAGAAGTGTAGTTGAGGACTGGGAGAAATGGTAAATTTTTAATCCTGGGGTAGCCAATATGGTGCCCTTCTGATACTGCTGGAGGATCCCCCCCCCCCGCCAAACTCTGCTCAGACCCAACCAGTGTGGCTAATGGTGAAGGATGGAGGCTGCAAGCTCCGCAACATCTGGAGGGTATTTGCACTGTATTAGCAGAGGAACAGGGTATATCACCTGCTCCAGGTTAGGAACACCTGTTTCAAAACCAGGAATGGGATTATAAACAGGGCAGATGGGTGGTGCTGATGGTGGAGATTAAGAAGCAGTACTGGAAGGGGAAAGGAGACCTGGGCTGGAGATGGAAAAAGATGACAAAAAAACAACAAAAAACCAACGGATCAATACGGACCCCTGGGGATTCCCCACAATGGCCTAAGCTCAGACCGAGCTGCCAATGCATTCTTTCAGACAGCAAAGAGGCATGTGTATGTATGTCATTTTCCTGACCACTATCCCCCATAAAAATAATTCTCTCCACTCAGAAATCAAGGGGAAAGAACCTTGCCTAGCCCCCCCCCACCAGACACACTAACTTCTCTTTTATGTGGAGATGTTTAGTTCACCCCCACCGCCCAACACAGGGGAGCACCCACCCCATGGCAGTCTGATGGGATGCCACCCAGCCACAGGTTGTGCATCTCAATGAGAACAAAAGGTCCAAAGCTTTGTAGCTGTTAACAGATGGGTGGCAGGCAGAAATTCAATCTGTGCAGCTTCTCCCAGAAAGGAGAGGCCACAGTGAAGAGGGAGGGGGAAGCAGCCCAGGTGGAATTTCTGTTTGTTGTGCAACTACTAAAGGCACAGAGCTCCTGTGAAGGGAAATGAGGTGGCAGCACAGGGTGTGAGGAGTAAGATGGCTATGTGCATACTCTGAGAAGATTCCTAGGTTTTAAGAGTGGCCGAGGAGATACCTAGCAGAGAAGTCTGCTGGGTAAGGCTTCCCCTATCCCCCAAAGTTCTTTGACAGGAGTCTTCTCAGGGTCTGAATTTGCCAGTTCTCGCTGTAGAACAATGACGGCGAGAAACCTGACTTTATATAAAGTATCAGCTCATAACCAGATCTGGAGCACATGTTATGCCCTGTGAGCTGCCTGGCAGAAAACCAGCATCCCTACTCAGAACTTAACCCTCCCCCAGGCAAACAGGAGCCACCCACCATTTAAAAATAGTAATACCAAAGAAAACTCTCTGTGGCTGACTACATTTAGCTTCAGGAGGTCACTCGATTTCAAAAGTTGTTTATGAGACGGGGGGATGGGGGAGAGGCTTGCAAAATCAGGAAAAGGAATTAACAGCGCCAAATATCAAGGCATAGCTTAGAACAGCCCTTCCTAATTCTCATGCTGTGTGGATACTCCAACTTCCATCACGCTCAGTGTGGCGATGCTGGCTGCAGGCTGATGGGAGCTGGGGTCTAGGACATCTGGAGGAGGACCAGGTTGAGGAAACGCAGACATTAAAGCTCTGCTTGTTAATGGAGTGGTGAAGCCTAAAAAAATAGGAGCCACAGCTCGATAGGAATACCAGAAGCCCATTTACTGGGCATGTGCTTACTCTTCAGTCCAAACATGGCCCCAGCTCCACAGCCGTTCTCCCTTGGCCTCCCCGCAAAGAGGCAGAGAGGATGCAGAATGCCACAGGGCCTCGTTTCCCCAGACCTTCGTTCCTTCCTTGCCAAGGGGCACCGAGGCACCATACAACGAGGCAGCCGGTCACTAGCTTTATGCACAAGGACAGACCTTCACTTTTCACCTCCTGCTCAAGAGTGGAAGAGGCTGGGTGTGGCGGGCATAGAATAGCTCTGATCCCTTCCCCAGTGGCTCCAATGTCAGAGCACTGAAGGATGCATTCCCACAGTTCACTGGGGGCTTAACCGTTGCAGAGCAGCCCAGGATGAATTAAAAAGAGCAGGTGAGTGGGTGGGATTTGTGGGGAGAGGTATTGTGGAGTGGGAAGGGCAGAGGAGGGGCAAGCCAGGGGCAGGATAGATCTTGAGGACCATCTGCATAGGAAGGTTGTAGTATGGTGGCCCAGAGGAGTGAGGAAAGTTGGTCTTGAAGTTGCTGTCCCCCACTTAAAACTGAGTGCAAATTAGATGTCCCCCAAAGCGCCAACAGGCCCAAGTCCCCATGTACCAAGGAGCCCATGCTACGCAAAGGGCCACTGGCTGCCTAAAGCTGTCAGTCGCAAACACCTTGTACTGGTCCCTGGAAGTGGAACACGTAGAAAGAGGAAGCCCTGTGACATGTGGCCTGCTCCACAGACGCCAGCTAGCCGCCCCGCCCCCCTGCTCCCGCCCTTCAAGGCTTCAGCTTCAGCCACGGGAAGACAATGGTAAGGATGGAGATGACGGAAGACGTCAAGCCGCAGAGCCCCACGAACCCTGGGTTGGTCTTGTACAGGCCCAGCTTGTCCATGGGGATAAAAATGTCGCAGGCGTTTTTCGCCAGGTCCAGAAGCAGAGGGGGGTTGTCCCTCAGCACGTGACACAGGAGGCGGACCTGCAGCTTCAGCCTCAAGATCAGCTGCTGGAGCCGGTGGTCTTCCCCCACTCTGGGGCTGTCTCCACCACCGCCTCGCTGGCACTTCCCATTCGCCTCATGCTCCATCAGCAGCCGGATCTCATAGGCGTCCCTGCTCAGGTTCATGATCAGTGCAAAGAGGTAATACCTGGGGGGAAAGGCAAAGGGGTGGGGAGGAAGAAAAGTCCTTAACTTCTGTCTGTTAGGATACAGTTCCGTTCCACCTTAAAAGGAACAGGCATGACTGTTATATGTCAGATGCCTGTTTACTTCCAGCACAGGCTTGCTGGGAATTTCCGTTTGTATATTGCTTTTGCTGTACTGCTGTGTGCTTGGACACGAAGGGAAGCAGACATGTTTTTTCCTTTGTTCCTGAACTATGCTAAATAAACGCCTGTAAATAATGCTTACACATGTCTCTGTCCGCCACTTCCATTGAGAAGTTACTCACTCTGCTGATTAGAGCGTGCCAAGTCTCTAAAGGTATCTGAGGCTTGTGTCGCTGATTGATGCTGTTCCGGTAACCAGAGTTCGCCTGGCTGCTGGCCGGTGGCTGGAGCCAGCTGGGGGCCTGCCAAATGCCCCCGTCTCCTCGGCAGTATCCCAACACTATCAACAGATATCAGCTCTGACTTACACAGAGTCTTTATTTGCAGTCAGCAGACCGATGCAACGTTTTATGCCCATCAATAGCGTTAATAAAAGCGCACATTCATACAATTAAAAAAACCTCACCTGAAAGACCGCTGGCTCCATTTCTCCTGGTCCATGTGGGGGGCGAGACCTGATTTCCCTGCCCAAAGGATATTGTCACAGGCGAAATACATGGCTCTGTTTAGATGGCTGACAGTGATGCAGAAGCGAAGGACCATGTCTGACAGGTGGATGGCCCGTTTGGCCGCCTCCAGGGCATCTGAAGAATTCCCCAGCCGGAACACTGGAAAGGAATCCCAAGTTAAAGTGGTTGTCCCACATTGGTCTCACTTCTGCAGCTCTTTAAAGGAGAAGCTCCAGACTGCAATCAGATTTGGTGTCAACTGGCTGTCTGAATGCGTCCTTAGACAGCATGTGTTTGCCTTAGGAGTGGCAGGAGATGGGGCCAGATAGACCAAGGGGATCTTCAAGAGGCCAGATTCTAGGGCAGCTTTGCTAACTAGGATAACACAGCAGCTATGAGACAGGGGAGCTAGGAATCATTAGGTCCCTGCTTTGCATTTTACTGCTATGACCTCATTAGACTGGGTAGGCCACTCTCAGCATCAATAAACCCCTGCCATATGGGGAGAGGATCCTTACAGCAAACTTGCAAGGTAGGCCCAATATAGGTCTACCTTATAGGACAGCTGTAAGGATCAGAAGGTTGCATAATGCTGTACAAGTTACTATCCAACAAATAGGTTTTCCTATCCTACATGGCTGCACGTAACCAATTGTGGCAAAAACCAAAATCACCATCTTCAATTAGTTACCTAGGGGAAGGTTCCTACTTGACAGAGTGGACCAGGCAACTGGCTACTTACAAGCCTAGACTGACAGAGGTCAGGCACAAACTTTCTGGGAAGCCTTGAGAAACCTGCTTTATCAGTTCCCTATCTGTAAAATGGGAACAACCTTAAACAGTAAGGTGTGCTGAAAAGCAATTTCTAAGGGAGCTGCTACATGGGGAGAAACTTGGTGCCTCTGAGGCTTACTGGAGGCAGTCTGGCTGAACTATGTGGGCGACTAGAGGCTGGGTGGGTGGCTCTTCAATATGATCTAGGAGGGCTGCTCTCCTGAATAGTGGTACCTTGGTTTTCGAGCGTCTCGGAAGTTGGACGTTTCGACTTTCGAATGCCGAAAACCCAGAAGTAAGTGTTTTGGTTTTTGAACACTTTTTGGAAGCCGAACATGCCATGCGGCTTCCATACTGAGTTTTCCGGACGTAAATGATTCTGGAAATGCATGCTTCAGTTTTTGAACGTTTCAGAAGTCACAGTCTTCCAGAATGGATTACGTTCGAAAACCGAGGTTCCACTGTACTTATGAAGCATTTTACAAATTCACAAAAAGGGAAAAATGATGCAAAAACAATTTAGCATGAATAAGTGAAGCCTGCCCTTTTTTAATACCCTAGGTCAGTGGTGGCCAAACTTCGCCCTCCAGCTGTTTTTGGACTACAACTCCCATCATCCCTAGCTAACAGGACCAGTGATGATGGGAACTGTAGTCCCCAAGCAGCTAGAGGGCCAAGTTTGGCCACCACTGCCCTAGGTCCACCAGATCCTGGAGTGGAACTGGGTGTGCTGAGAGCAGCTGACTGATTGCTGGAGGGGACAGAGTTGTGGGAAGCCTGAGGAGGCGATGAGACCTTAATGCCTGCATGTAAGCCCTAGAGTGAGGAACTGGGGCTAAGTCAGAAAGTCCTTCTTCACACAGTACATAGCTAAACTATGGAACTCACTCCCACAGGTGGCTACCAACTCAGATGGCTTTAAAAGAAGATCCAACAAAATCACGGAGAAGGCTGCCAGCTGTGATGGCTATGCTGCTCCTCTGCAGTTGGCAGCAGCAGAGCTTCTGAATACTTGTTGCTGGAAGCCACAGGAGGGGAGAAGACTTCTGTGTTCAGGTCCTGCTTGCAGGTTTCCCACAGGCAGCTAGTTGGCTGCTGTGAGAACAGGATGCTGGACTAGATGGGCCACTGACCTGATCCAGCAGGATCTTCTTAGGTTCTTAAGTCAGCAGGTTCAGGAGTACCCTCTTTTCTGTGAGGTTTTGGGGTGGTCTGTGAGTTTGCTTGGGTCCTGGATGAGAGTCAGGAGGCTTGAGTGGTGCTGAGTGTGGGGAGGTGTGTTAAAGGAGGGGCTAACATCAGCATTCAGTTACAGTAAGGTAAAGGGTAAAGGGACCCCTGACCATTAGGTCCAGTCGTGACCGACTCTGGGGTTGCAGCGCTCATCTCGCTTTACTGGCCGAGGGAGCTGGCGTACAGCTTCCGGGTCATGTGGCCAGCATGACTAAGATGCTTCTGGCGAACCAGAGCAGCGTATGGAAACGCCGTTTACCTTCTCGCCGGAGCGGTACCTATTTATCTACTTGCACTTTTGTGCTTTCAAACTGCTAGGTTGGCAGGAGCAGGGACCGAGCAACGGGAGCTCACCCTGTCGCAGGGATTTGAACTGCCGACCTTCTGATCGGCAAGTCCTAGGCTCTGCGGTTTAACCCACAGCGCCACCCGCGTCCCACTCAGTTACAGTGTTGTTGTTGTTTAGTCGTTTAGTCGTGTCCGACTCTTCGTGACCCCATGGACCAGAGCACGCCAGGCACTCCTGTCTTCCACCGCCTCCCGCAGTTTGGTCAGGCTCATGTTTGTAGCTTCGAGAACACTATCCAACCATCTCATCCTCTGTCGTCCCCTTCTCCTTGTGCCCTCCATCTTTCCCAACATCAGGGTCTTTTCCAGGGAGTCTTCTCTTCTCATGAGGTGGCCAAAGTATTGGAGCCTCAGCTTCACGATTTGTCCTTCCAGTGAGCACTCAGGTCTGATTTCCTTAAGAATGGATGCGTTTGATCTTCTTGCAGTCCATGGGACTCTCAAGAGTCTCCTCCAGCACCATAATTCAAAAGCATCAATTCTTCGGCGATCAGCCTTCTTTATGGTCCAGCTCTCACTTCCATACATCACTACTGGGAAAACCATGGCTTTAACTATACGGACCTTTGTTGGTAAGGTGATGTCTCTACTTCTAAACATGTTGTCTAGATTTGCCATCGCCTTTCTCCCAAGGAGCAGGCGTCTTTTAATTTCGTGACTGCTGTCACCATCTGCAGTGATCATGGAGCCCAGGAAAATAAAATCTCTCACTGCCTCCATTTCTTCCCCTTCTATTTGCCAGGAGGTGATGGGACCAGTGGCCATGATCTTCGTTTTTTTGATGTTGAGCTTCAGACCATATTTTGCGCTCTCTTCTTTCACCCTCATTAAAAGGTTCTTTAATTCCTCCTCACTTTCTGCCATCAAGGTAGTGTCATCTGCATATCTGAGGTTGTTGATATTTCTTCCGGCGATCTTAATTCCGGCTTGGGATTCATCCAGCCCAGCCTTTCGCATGATGAATTCTGCATATAAGTTAAATAAGCAGGGGGACAATATACAGCCTTGTCGTACTCCTTTCCCAATTTTGAACCAATCAGTTGTTCCATATCCAGTTCTAACTGTAGCTTCTTGTCCCACATAGAGATTTCTCAGGAGACAGATGAGGTGATCAGGCACTCCCATTTCTTTAAGAACTTGCCATAGTTTGCTGTGGTCGACACAGTCAAAGGCTTTTGCATAGTCAATGAAGCAGAAGTAGATGTCTTTCTGGAACTCTCTAGCTTTCTCCATAATCCAGCGCATGTTTGCAATTTGGTCTCTGGTTCCTCTGCCCCTACGAAATCCAGCTTGCACTTCTGGGAGTTCTCGGTCCACATACTGCTTAAGCCTGCCTTGTAGAATTTTAAGCATAACCTTGCTAGCGTGTGAAATGAGTGCAATTGTGCGGTAGTTGGAGCATTCTTTGGCACTTCCCTTCTTTGGGATTGGGATGTAGACTGATCTTCTCCAATCCTCTGGCCACTGCTGAGTTTTCCAAATTTGCTGGCATATTGAGTGTAGCACCTTAACAGCATCATCTTTTAAAATTTTAAATAATTCAGCTGGAATATCATCACTTCCACTGGCTTTGTTATTAGCGATGCTTTCCAAGGCCCATTTGACTTCACTTTCCAGGATGTCTGGCTCAAGGTCAGCAACCACACTACCTGGGGTATACGAGACATCAATTTCTTTCTGGTATAGTTTCTCTGTGTATTCTTGCCACCTCTTCTTGATGTCTTCTGCTTCTGTTAGGTCCTTTCCACTTTTGTCTTTTATTATGGAAATCTTTGTACAAAATGTTCCTTTCATATCTCCAATTTTCTTGAACAGATCTCTGGTTTTTCCCATTCTATTGTTTTCTTCTATTTCTTTGCATTGCTTGTTTAAGAAGGCCTTCTTGTCTCTCCTTGCTATTTTTTGGAAATCTGCATTCAATTTCCTGTATCTTTCACTATCTCCCTCACATTTTGCTTGCCTTCTCTCCTCCGCTATTTGTAAGGCCTCGTTGGACAGCCACTTTGCTTTCTTGCATTTCCTTTTCATTGGGATGGTTTTCGTTGCTGCCTCCTGTACAATGTTACGAGCCTCCATCCATAGTTCTTCAGGCACTCTGTCCACCAAATCTAAATCCTTAAACCTGTTCCTCACTTCCACTGTGTATTCATAAGGGATTTGACTTAGATTGTATCTTACCGGCCCAGTGGTTTTTCCTACTTTCTTCAGTTTAAGCTTGAATTTTGCTATAAGAAGCTGATGATCTGAGCCACAGTCAGCTCCAGGTCTTGTTTTTGCTGACTGTATAGAGCTTCTCCATCTTTGGCTGCAGAGAATATAATCAATCTGATTTCGATGCTGCCCATCTGGTGATGTCCATGTGTAGAGTCGTCTCTTGTGTTGTTGGAAAAGAGTGTTTGTGATGACCAGCTTGTTCTCTTGACAGAACTCTATTAGCCTTTGCCCTGCTTCGTTTTGAACTCCAAGGCCAAACTTGCCAGTTGTTCCTTTTATCTCTTGACTCCCTACTTTAGCATTCCAATCCCCTATTATGAGCAGAACATCCTTCTTTGGTGTCACTTCTATAAGGTCTTGTAAGTCTTCATAGAATTGGTCAATTTCAGTTTCTTCAGCACCAGTAGTTGGTGCATAAACTTGGATTACTGTGATGTTAAAAGGTCTGCCTTGGATTCGTATCGAGATCATTCTATCATTTTTGAGATTGCATCCCAGTACAGCTTTCACCACTCTTTTGTTGACTATGAGGGCCACTTACAGTACTAATATCCAAATGTATATTTGCATTGCATTTGTGTCAATGCTTTTACTGCATGTTTGTAAAATGTGTTTTTTTAAAAAATCTGCCATGCACTACATAGATGTATACTAAGTGCTACAGAAATTTCCTCAAATAAATAAAAGTGAATCCCTCCCCAACCCTCTCAGGTCCCAGCCAACCCCTCTTGCACTCACACTTGCGCCCCAAGCTCATGTGAGCCTCCAGCTGCTTGATCCTAGCAATGAAATCAGGGCTGGCTCCATACTTCTGCAGTGAGTAGCCGAGCAGAGTGCAGGCATACTGGGCAGCCCTAGGAGGAAAGAAACAAACAGTGGAAAGAGGTTAGCCTGGTAGAGAAGATACTTGAGGCCCCAATGAAATAGCCCTATTGCAATAGCTGGCAGCATGAGGCAAAAAGTTTTTATTTCTGCTTGTTAGCCACCCTGAGCCCAGCCTTGGCTGGGGAGGGCGGGGTATAAATAAAAATTATTATTATTAAAGCAAAAAGGAGGGGAGGTGTATACTTGTACTACGTAAGTGGGTCCATGAGAGCCTCCTGGAATAATTAAATATATAGATATTTACAGGAGGGTTTTCAAATTAGGATATGTCACATAAATATCCATGTATTCAACATTCTCCAACCTGATGCCCTCCAGATGTTCTTAACTACAGCTGCTCCCATTAGCTTCAGCCAGCGCAGTCTATGATCAGGGGTGAAGGAAGTTGTAACCCAAAATATCTGGAGGGCAGTGGATGGCAATACAGGCTTGCTTAAGACCCCCAATCACACACTGCCAGGCCAAACAGAGATTGCAACCAACATATTCTCAAGCTCTGGCAAGCCTCCAGGAGGGAAGGGAGAAAGGCAACCACACCGAATGCTTGTTATGTCCTTGAAGTTTGAACTTTGGAGGCACTCTTGGCCAACCTAAGGGTATGCAGTGAGATGTCAGAGGAGTGAAGGAGTTATTGCATCACCATAAATTCCTGCTGCTACTGTATCATGAACAGAAGCAAAAACGCTCTGTGGACAGACCCTTTCTCTACAAGTAGAATCATTTTGCAAAGGGCATCTTAACAAATTAACTGTACAATCCTGAACTTTAAGAAAAGCCTCCTTTGCTCAGGAGTCTTCCCAGCTGGGAAAAAGCAAATGCACCCTGAGAAACATTAAGGTGCATGACTTACAAATGGGATTGTGGAGGGGAGAAAGTTTGGGAACCACTAACCAAACAATTGCTGCTGGCCAGTGGAAGAAAATTGAACAATCTGAGATTTTGAGTGCAGCTGTGATGGGGAGAGGGGATTGTGTCGGCCCAAAGCAAGAAGTAGCAGGAAAGAGGAGCATGTTTGTGGTTTTTTAATTTAAAGTTTATTTCCATCAAAAGAGGGTGTGCTTTCCCTGAGTTTGTAAACTTTTTAAACAAATAAAAAAATAGCTCTGCTAATGCCAATGAGATAAAGTTCATCATCTTTAGTCCCATAATGCAGAGGACAGGGTGTGGCTGAGAGTGTGTGGATTAAACCACCCCTGCAATGGAACCCATTTTGATGGGGGTGGTTAAGAGTAGCGCATTACACAACGCTGCAGTCCAGCATAGTTATCCTGGTTTTGGGCAGGGAGGGATATGGAAATGCAGGGGGAAGCAACTGTAAAGCAGATTGCACTGCTGGTACAATTAATTATGGGCTGGGGGAGATGAAAGAACTGAGGGTGTCAGTGGTGAGTGGGAAGGTATTATTTGGCCACCACTGAGAAACAAGGGAGGAGCAAACTTGCAGTACAAGTCTTTCAGAGACAGACGTGCCAAGTCACATCACTGTTCAGTTAACAGATCTACCAAAAAAGCTACACGTGTTCTCTGATATCAATTATCTTTGTCTGGAGCATTTACTTTGCCCCCGCTCCTGAAAAAAAACCCCTTATTTATTTCTTTTTTAAAAAAGCAATAAAAATCAATTTAAAAGGTATATAGTCAGAAAGTAGCCAGATGACAAATCAGGACCTACTGTCACACAATTTGGGAAGGATTTCTGACCTACAGCTGTTATAACAAGGAAAACAAGAGAATGAACCACGTGTCCCAAACAGTGCTACTGAAATGAAGAAAATGCACAGGAAGGTGTGTGCGTGCAAAGGGAAACTGAAACATATCAGTGTGTGGAAGGACTGCTTGGAAGCAGCAGCCTGGATTCTTCTAGCCCAGAGATGGAAAGAAGGCACAATTCTGGCCAAGGAAGAGCAGCAGCTAAAATTGATGAACTATGCTGAAATGGCAAAACTTACAGGAAGAATTAGAAACTAGGAAGAGGCAGATTTGAATAAATAATGGGGAAAGTTTATAACTTGTTTGAAAAATTATTGTAAACAATTACATTCATTGGTAGGCTTGACAAAAAACGTAGTAAAAATTTGAACTATGGATTGGCAAAGGATTTGTAAAATAGTGTTATGGAAGAGATGCAGAGATAAAATCATTATATGAGGATGCACAAAGGAGGAGGAGAGGGAAGTCAAAGGGGATTTTATGCTTTTATTGTGTTTATTTTTCTTTTACCTATTGTATGTAAAATTGAAAATGCAATTGCATTTTCTTTTCATTTTTAAAAAGGAAGTCTGAAAATAATCAATAAGAAGACAGCATTCTGTAGTGGTTCGAGTATCGGATTAGGACCAGGGTTCAAATCCTCACTCTGGGTGATCTTGGGCCAGTCACTGCCTCTCAGTCAAACCTACTTTCCAGGCTTGCTGTGGGGATTAATTGAAGATTAACTGAGGAGGAGGAGAATCATGTTGCAGCAACTTAAACTCTTTTGAGAAAAAAAAGGTAGGATATAAATGTGACAAAGACATAAAAACAAAAAGTCTTTTTTCTCTCTCTCTACCAAGAAGTCTCTAACTCACCCCCCCCCAAAAAAATATGGCTTTTGACATTTGAGAGGTTATATAGTTTAAAGGCACACCTTATTGTTTTAGGATTGTGAGTTGTCTTAAATTGTTTTTAATATTGAGTTTTAGTTTGCTTATTCATATTTCTTATCCTATTGGCTACTGCATTCACATCCTTTTTCTCCAAGGAGTTCTCAAGGGGGCACATAAAGTTCTCCTCCCGCTCCATGTTACCCTCACAGCAACCTTGTGAGGCAGTTAGGGTGAGAAAGAGAGAAAAAGGAGGAGAGAGAGAGAGACTGGCCAAAAGTCGTGGCCGAGGGGTGTGTTTTGTGTATGTTGAACTCTGATCTTTCCTGGGTCCTCGTCCGACACTTCTAACCACTACCCGACACCCTGGCCCACCTTGGGATGAAAGGAGGGTGGTTAAAGTACAAATAATGATAAATGATAAACCAAAAGAAACAACGAAATAGCAATGACTAAAGAAATGTAAAATATTTAAGAATACAGTAACAACAATAACCTAGTGACAACACACTATTATGTGGATCATAATAACGAGCCACGATCATTACACGAATCCCCCGCTCCCCTTCCCCAAGAGATGGTACCGGGAGCGGGTTGGCTCTTGGTACCCTTCACGGTCCCCTGCCTCTCCCTCCCCGCCCTCCGCCGCACCTGAAGACCCGCTCCTTGGCTTGGCTCTGGGCGCTGAATCGCACCCAGGAATCCATCGCAGCAGCAGCAGCCTCTCCTCGGCGAAGGCAGCACCGACGGGCCCCCTCCTTCCCTCGCCTCCTCCAGGCTCGCAGGCAGCCCTCGGTAGCTCTTTCCTCGGCCTCGCAGGGCCGCACCGCCCTCCGCCTCCCGCAGGGCCGACACCGCCCCCGCCCGTCCCCTCGGCCGCGGGCAAATGAAATCGCGGTCACTTCCGGGGGCAGTACGGCAGCGCCCGAGGGACAAATTTAAGCACGGTTAATGGTCAAAGGCTTTGTAGTCGTTGCGGGAGTTTTGTTTTTTTCTTTTAACTGGCTCGCTCTGAATCGCTGCTCCTCCGCCCGCCCCCTCTTAAAGGCGATTGGGGGAAATCCCGACGCTTGCCATGGTTCGCACGGTTCTCATTGGCTGATCCTAAGAGGCTGGGTCGGCCTTCTCTTTACCCACCCAAGCTGGGCAGCCATTCGCCGGCCTCCCGGCTCCTCCCCCCCTGAGGTGTTCACGACGGCGATTGGAGGAAACCCCTCCCAATACCCCCGCCTCCTAGCTTGGGGACCTTGCATTTCCATTGGCTGAGTCCTCAGCTCAGGCACCTCCCCCGCTCCGGCCGAGCTGTCATTCGTCAGCCCCTCCTGCTCCATCCTCTGCCTCCGCTCCTGAGGTGTTCGCGACCGCGACGGAGCCGAAGCCCCGCCTCCTGGCTCGTGGAGGGCGCTCCCATTGGCTGAGCCCTTAGCTCGGGCGCCTCCCCCGTTTCGGTGACGGACACTTTGGCATGAGGGGACGGGGGCCGAGCATTTCTTTCGCCCCTCAGTCGCTCGACGGGCCGCCGACGCCTCCGCGCTCGCCATGATGATGGAGTCGCTGCGCGTGCAGCGGCTGCAGCCGGGCGTTGGGGGCACGCTGCGCTCGCTGCGGCCTGGCGTGACGGCGGGAGCGTCCCTGGCGGTTGCTTCGGCTCCCCGCCGCCGCCGCCGCCCCCGCCGCCGCTCGGGCTGTCGCTCACCCTGGGGCCTCCCCCGCCGCCCCCGCCCCCGCTGCCGCCTCTCCCGCCCTCGCTCTTGCCGGGCGTGACAGCCGGATCCAGCCCCCCGGGAGCCGCAGCGACGGGTCCGCCCGCCGTGCTGAGGGAGGCCGTCGAGGCCGTCGTCAGGAGCTTCGCCAAGCACACGCAAGGCTACGGCCGCGGTGAGGATGAAGGGCTGCCTCGGCCACCGTTATCTGCTTTTCGCCTCTGGGCGTGTGCAGAGTGCCTGCCTCACCCATCCAGCCTCGCATAGCGGGAGCAGTTACCGTGTCATAAGCTTAGCCTAGCCTACCTGGCAGAGTTGTTTTGTTGTTGTAAGGATAAAGGCGGTTTACAGAAGGCCCAGAGTTTCTAGGAGGAAAAGTGAGGTGAAAAATGTAAGGAACGAGGTCGAATGTATCCCTGAGGAAAAATGGTCCCGGCCTTCCCATTAGCCAGCTTTTTAGAAAAGACTGTAGTAAGCATGTGGAGTGGTCCTGTCTCTTCTGATGGACAGCTTTTTAGAAGTGAGGGCTGAAGCATGTGCAGAATTCAGTTGCCTTCTCTTAACTGCAGCCTGCCTTGCAGTGCTGATGTGACATCAGGCAGAAAACTTCATTGCACTCATTTTGGTGCCTGCTATCTGACAACTATCTGACTTTTAGAAGACATCTGAAGGCAGCCCTTCAGGGAAGTTTTTAAACGTATGAGGTTTTATTGTGTTTCTAATATTCTGTTGGGAGCTGCCCAGAGTGGCTGGGGAAACCCCGTCAGGCAGGGTATAAATAATAAATTATCATTATTATCATTAAAAATGATTTTGTTTATAGTCATTCTTTATTATTATTATAGATTACATTTATATACTGCCCTTCATCCATAGATCTCGGGGTGGTTCACAGCATAAAAAGTTTAGATAAGCCCATTTAGATATGCAGGAATGTTGATGTGTGTTTTAATCTGTTTTTAGCTTATTGTTTTGTTATTTTTTAGCATTTTAAATAGCTGATAATTTGGTGTGTTTTTCTGTAAACTGCTTTGCAGGTTATTGCTTTCTTTTTAAACCAATCAAGCAGTGTATAATTTTTATGAAACAAAAAATAAGTAAAGCAGAATAAGGGAGAAGACTTGCAGAATACCTAGAGCTTCTTAGAGGAAAAGTGAGATAGAAATGAAGTCAAAATGCCTCTGAGCAAAAAAAATGACTTGACTTTTTACTAGTCAGCTGTTTACATTTAAAAGGTGAGCTGAGTGTCTTTCTTTGACAGGCAACTGACTACTGGAGGAAAATTGTCCTGTGGATTTCAGTAAGGGAGTGTTGTGGTCTGGTGAACTGGGGAGCCCCAGTGTTGTGGATTCTTGAGTCGGGGGATCTTGGCGAGGGACGACAGTAATTGGGGGGTGTTGGTACAGGTGTTGTGCACCTTCAGTTCTGGGTAGAGAGGCCCTCTTCTTCTCATCTCCAGCCCTTGATTGCTTGCTAAGATTGCTTGCTTCCCTGCTGAGAATTTTATTTGTTCATTGGTTTATTTTAAGTACGGGAGTTAGCATTTTTGGCTTCTAACTATTTGAAGTAAAAATAAGCTATTTAAATCCTACACATCTGAAGCAACCAGTGTTTCTTCTGTAGCCTGATGTGTTATGTGACTTATGTTAAGTCCGACCATAGGGTAGATGTCTAGAATGTTTGTTTTCAGCTAATGTTAAATGAAGGGGTCTTCCCCCGCCTTGAGAAAGCTTCCCATCAATAATGGCGAATCCTGTTCCCTCCCATCCTTTTTTTCAGATTGGCTGTATTTTTTAGCAATGTTTTGTCCCTGTTTTTGGATGAAATGGGGCCCAGGTTGTTCTTGTCTGTTTTGGGAAATGTTTTCTAGCCTGCTACATTTTTTTTTGTTCTGGGATAGTACCGAGGGCCCTAATTGTGAACATACTCCAGGGTAGCCTCAAAATGGGCCAACTTCAAGACCTGTTTGGTTGGCTTATGAAATGCAGGAAAGGAGCAGTTAAAATGAGTTTTTACAAACATCTATGTGGAAAAATGTTGTCCTCTGCTCCAAATGGGGAGACTTTGTGGCCACTTGGGGTGTCAGATGTTGGCTTACAGCAGCAGCAGGCCCAGTAGACGCCGCCTTGCAGGTTCTAAGCAGCAAATGCTTGGCAGGCAATCTGTGACTTAAGCACAACACTGCTTTCCTGGCTCTGAAAGGCTTTGAGGCCATGTGGAATCATTTACTCTTTCCTATTTAATATGCAAGTCAGATGTGCTGTCATACACAAGGTAGGGGCTAGAGTATGTGATCCAAGGCCATAAACAGTGGATATAAATAACAGCCAGTGGTCTGACTGTAAACATAGAATCATAGAATCATAGAGTTGGAAGAGACCACAAGGGCCATCGAGTCCAACCCCCTGCCAAGCAGGAAACACCATCAGAGCACTCCTGACATATGGTTGTCAAGCCTCTGCTTAAAGACCTCCAAAGAAGGAGACTCCACCACACTCCTTGGCAGCAAATTCCACTGTCGAACAGCTCTTACTGTCAGGAAGTTCTTCCTAATGTTTAGGTGGAATCTTCTTTCTTGTAGTTTGGATCCATTGCTCCGTGTCCGCTTCTCTGGAGCAGCAGAAAACAGCCTTTCTCCCTCCTCTATGTGACATCCTTTTATATATTTGAACATGGCTATCATATCACCCCTTAACCTCCTCTTCTCCAGGCTAAACATGCCCAGCTCCCTTAGCCGTTCCTCATAAGGCATCATTTCCAGGCCTTTGACCATTTTGGTTGCCCTCCTCTGGACACGTTCCAGTTTGTCAGTGTCCTTCTTGAACTGTGGTGCCCAGAACTGGACACAGTACTCCAGGTGAGGTCTGACCAGAGCAGAATACAGTGGCACTATTACTTCCCTTGATCTAGATGCTATACTCCTATTGATGCAGCCCAGAATTGCATTGGCTTTTTTAGCTGCCGCGTCACACTGTTGGCTCATGTCAAGTTTGTGGTCAACCAAGACTCCTAGATCCTTTTCACATGTACTGCTCTCAAGCCAGGTGTCACCCATCTTGTATTTGTGCCTCTCATTTTTTTTGCCCAAGTGCAATACCTTACATTTCTCCCTGTTAAAATTCATCTTGTTTGTTTTGGCCCAGTTCTCTAATCTGTCAAGGTCGTTTTGAAGTGTGATCCTGTCCTCTGGGGTGTTAGCCACCCCTCCCAGTTTGGTGTCATCTGCAAATTTGATCAGGATGCCCTTGAGTCCATCATCCAAGTCGTTGATAAAGATGTTGAATAAGACCGGGCCCAGGACAGAACCCTGTGGCACCCCACTAGTCACTCTTCTCCAGGATGAAGAGGAACCATTGATGAGCACCCTTTGGGTTCGGTCAGTCAGCCAGTTACAAATCCACTGAGTGGTAGCATAGTCAAGACCGCATTTTACCAGCTTCTTTACAAGAATATCATGGGGCACCTTGTCAAATGCCTTGCTGAAATCAAGGTAGACTACATCCACTGCATTCCCTTCATCTACCAGGCTTGTAATTCTGTCAAAAAACGAGATCAGGTTAGTCTGACATGACTTATTTTTCAGAAATCCATGCTGACTATTGGTGATCACAGCATTCCTTTCTAGGTGCTCACAGACTGTTTGCTTAATGATCTGCTCCAGAATCTTCCCTGGTATTGATGTCAGACTGACTGGGCGGTAATTATTTGGGTCCTCTCTTTTCCCCTTTTTGAAAATAGGGACAACATTTGCCCTCCTCCAGTCTGCCGGGACTTCGCCTGTTCTCCAGGAATTCTCAAAGATGACTGCCAGTGGTTCTGAAATCACATCTGCCAGTTCTTTTAATACTCTTGGATGCAGTTCATCTGGCCCTGGAGACTTGAATACATCTAGACTAGCCAAGTATTCTTGTACTATCTCCTTAGTTATTCTGGGCTGTGTTTCCTCTGCTGAATCATTTGCTCCAAATTCTTCAGGTCGGGCATCTTCACTCTCAGGTAGGAAATGTAAAAATGAACTGCTGCTTTTTGTACTTGTTGAGGCCTTTGAAATATAATTTCTTTCAGTGAAATGCAATGAAAGGGGGTTTTGAACAATCACTCTGGGCAGCCCCAGTCAGCACAGTTGTAGTCTGAAAGTTCTGGAGGGCAAGGGTAATAGAGAGGTAGGTTTTTATGGCTGTGCAGAGGTTTCCTGTTTAAGATTGGCATTGTTTTTGCTGCTGAACTGCAGTCCACCACCTGTAAGATGTGGCATTTCTGTATTCTCAACAGGGCATCCAACATGCGTTAGGGTATGGCAAGTTCGTAAGGTAACCTAAGCCCAAACCATTCATGGTTTTAAAGGTTGTTAGGAGTTCAATGAACTGGATCTAGAAATACATTGCTATACAGAGCAAATGGTACAGCATTGGTGTTCAAACTTCAAACTGCCTGGCTCCAACCAATGATTGCATTGTGTATTGGTTGAATTTTCTGTTTTCTCTTCAAATGCATTTCTATGTAGAGCACTTGGTGTCCTAGTGCAGTACATGGATAACTCAGTCTGCTCTTTCCAGAAAGCAAGAGCATTTGAAATACTGGAGGAAGTAAATTAGGGGTGTGTGTGAAAGAGGTCTCTATTTGTCCTCTCTTCTCCCTCTTCAGAGACAATGTGAGAATGGATAGCAATCTGATTGGGCTTTATTAAGCCTAAAAGTATCAACCTGGAAACACTTAGCTAAGTTGAAACTAGAGGATCTCTTTATGAGAATAGGGAAGAAAATAGAGGGAGTTGGGCAAATTCACAGTCACACTAGCTGTTTGTATTTATGGAGTGGGTTCTCATTTCAATTAACATAAACTTGGGTTTCTTTTTACTATCCAAATCTGTGTAGGCTTTGTGTTTTGTTTTGACTGTATTTTTTTTTCTTTTTTGCTGCTCAGTAAATTCCAGTCTTATAAAAAAAACAGCTAGTATTAATACGGTACATGGGTGCTGATTGAGAATAGCATTCTGTTAGACCCAAATATTTGTGAACCCTGGCATTGAAATGTCTGATACTACTTCTGAACCAGCAGTTAAGGAGATTCGTGTAGCATACTTGCTTTACTTAGCATATTGCCTCTAGCTTTTCCTTCAGCTCACAAGTAATTGTTCTCTCTTCAATTATTTCCCTATATTCTGAAGGACTACATACACAGTCTTCAGGTTACCTGTGTATACATAAGCATAGTATTGTACAAATTAGCTTGTAGAAGTTGGGAAGACATCCTAGAGCAGCAGCTCATACTGTTTATATGTGCTCCAAGCCTGAGGTAGAACTGAAGTAACAATTTTCTGCTGAGGACCAAAGAAAACTGTGTAAAACCAACTGTAAAAGCTAGTGTGGACAGTGGCTCCTGTTGTAATCTTTAAGCACACTTCCATTCTAACATAAGCCAGCTTCATTTCCACAGTGCTTTGGACAGCATTGCTTTTCCATAGTCTTGTTGGAGCCAGTAAGCAGCCTCTGGAAAGCTGTTCTTCGTTAAGCTTTTTATCTCCTATGCGGTGTTTGCATACTTTGAGGAAAGGCTCAGCCAATTCTTCATGGAAACCTGGACATATTAGACATCATTGCTTGCTTTTTCAAATGTTTCTAGCCAAAATAATTATTTTATTTTTCCTTGGGCTTTTCCATCTTCCTTTTAAAATCAGAACCTCTAGGCTGCATTTATTTAAAATACGTGTTAGTAAAGTGGTCTAGGAGAAGCGCTACAGCCTACACACAGTTTTTGTCTTTTTTTAAGATGTCACATTAATGGGGTTCTTAAGAATGCTGGTGACCAAGAAAGCATTGACCCTTAGATATTGCAGAATGAATTCCATCTTCATAGCGGATTAATATATTTTGACAGATTGAAAAGTATCGCTTCGGTAATTAATCTGTGTTGTGCAGTATTGCCACAAACTCTCTTGCTCTCTCAGATCATATTCACTTTTAAACCATAACTTTAAAACAATAACACTGCTGTTTCTACATATTATATTAAAATGCAAAACAGGACTTTGTTTCTAAGCTCATGCATTTTTGCATCTTTTCTAACCAAAATATTCATACTATTTGTACTTAGTCTGCTAATGCTGGTTTCCATCTTCTAGGGATGTACTAATTTTAGTCAAGGAGTGCGGCTGCTTAGCATAATTATCCACTGTCTGGCCTCATGCTTCTTTCACAAACATAACACTTTGCAGTACAAAGGGGACAGTGTGTAATGGGATCTTGTCTGGGCTGAGAATAGAACACCCATGCTCTGGCTACAAAATACCATTTTCGCTGCTTTCAAACATCGCAAACAGACACAAACCGGTTGGTTGCTTTCTTGACACATGATAAATTGATATTGTGTCATGAAGATTCTAGATAAATATTGTAGGGGTTCACTGGGAGAAGAGGGCAAGCTAATGACCAATTCTGAGAGAAGAAACACTTGCAGACAATTCTTAGAAGCATAGTGAGCAGTATTACTAAAGAGTATTCGCTCTGTTTGGCCATAGCCATTTCCACACTGAGCTAGAATGCTATTGTTTCATTTGGTGTGTATTCAGCTAAGTCCTACTGGGTAGACCTGTTGCAATTAATGAACCTAAGTCATATCTGTTGACTTCAGTTGGTATACTCTGAGTAGGACTAGCACTGAATACCACCCATATACTCTCTCACACTGCATGCATGGGAGTGGGGGCATTACAGTGCAATATACATCCTTCTGTCCATGGGTGACTTATGCCATCCGTCGGCACCAGATTATCCAACTGTTGATTTCAAGCATCATAACATAAATCTAGAATGTTTATTTACCACAGGGGTATTTAGTTCAGCTGATGGGCTACTTTTAACAGTTAAATTGACCCAGCCCTGAAATTTTCTCTCCCAGTTTTTGATGCATGAGTAAATGCATGATTGGATTTTAAATAAAAGGCATACTAACATAAAAATGCTAATATATTTGATTGTGCATTATGGGTTTGGTTGCTTTGTGATAGCTTGACAAACTACTACAGAAGAAGACTTTAGGTCTTCTTCGGAATGAAAGTGCATGTTTGACATTAGTAAAAATAAATTTTGCTTGCCCACATTTGAATTCCAGGCATTCAATGGTTTCCCATACAGCATACTGCACAGATTGTCTATGGTTTCCTGTGAGTTCCTTTCATTAGTAACTGCTGTGTGTGTGTGTGTGTGTGTGTGCGTGCGCATGCACATGTGTATAAAGGAAACCCCAAATCTGAAAAATCTCCATTAATAGTCATTCCTCAGAATCTTGCTGAAACTATTTTAGCAGCATATGTATCTATTATGTCTCTTCTTCCTAGAGCTAATCAAGCTAATTCACATTAATATGAAAATTCTTTTTCTTTGCTGTAGATTTGCATGGAGAAGAGAGATGGTGGTGGTTCTGAAAAATCTAGATTTGATGCACCCCACTTAATCAATTTCTGTTGCTCCTTGCACTTCCACAAATCATGGTATCCATCTGGATTGCCTAGATAGGGTGGACTGGAAGACACCGTTTTGCAATTGTTCCAGTCCTTCCTGGAGGATAGAGCTTCAAAGATGCTATTGGAATTTGACTACTCAACTTCATCAGCATTGGCTAATGTGGTCTGCAGTGTTCTGCCTCCATCCTCTGTTTTGCTTAGCATCTAAATGCAGCTACTGTACTTGGAGAAGTTGTCTGGAGATGTGGGATTGAGTGCCATCAATATGCTGATGACAAGCACCAGTTACATTAAATTCTGCGGAGGCAATAGAAGTCCTGAATGAGCTTGATGAAAGACTGGGTGTGGGTGAACAAGCTGATATTGAATTGAAATAAGGCAATAGTATCTCTAATTATCTGAAAAGCTGATTTGGGGTTAGGCATCTAGCTTCTGTTAGAGCTGATAGCACTCTGCTTGAAAAGCCAGGTTTATGTGTGTTTGTGCTCTTGATCTTAGTATTGCTCCTTGGTACCCAGATGGTAGCTGTGGACTTAAATGGTTTTGTATAGCTGAGTCATGTGTACCAGCTGCATCTTTTGCTGAGCAAGGCAGATTTAGCTATTATAAAACATGTCCTAGTAATGTGAATCAACCTTGAATTTATCAAGAAAGATAGGTCATAGCATTTTATAAAAAAATATCTAAAATAAGTTGGATCATTGTAATGTGCTCTTCTTGGAGCTGCGCTTTGAAAAGATCACATACGGTAAATTTTAATGGGTGCACATTGTGGCAGAGTTGTGACCAAAACATTTTTTTAAAGAAAGTGATCTAGAACATGGTTGTTGTACCAGATTCTTTGCCTTACAGTTTATTTCCAAGTGTAGTTCAAAGTGCTGCTCATTTCCTTTAAAGCCCTAAATGATTTAGGACTAGGGCACTTGAAGGTTGGATTCTGCCCACCTGCATAGCTCTTCATTGGAGACCCAGTTCAGTGTTCTACCACCAAGTGAAACTTTTCTGTTGACAAGGCCTTTATTTTTGTGGCTTTGTAACTCTCTACCCAAAGAGGTGGGTGGTCCTAATAAAGGCATTCTCCTTCTGTGGATTTCTGATATTTTTTCTATGGTCCAGTATGGCTTAAGAGAGCCAGTGTGGTGTAGTGGTTAAGAGCAGTAGGCTCGTAATCTAGTGAACCAGGTTCGAGTCTCCGCTCCTCCGTATGCAGCTGCTGGGTGACCTTGGGCTAGTCACACTTCTTTGAAGTCTCTCAGTCCCACTCACCTCACAGAGTGTTTGTTGTGGGGGAGGAAGGGAAAGGAGAATGTTAGCCGCTTTGAGACTCCTTCGGGTAGTGATAAAGCGGGATATCAGATCCAAACTCCTCCTCCTCTTCTTAATTCCTTTTTTTTTTTTTACATCTTAAAAATACTTGTATGATGTGCTATCCCCAAATCCTTAAATTTGCCGAGAAATACCACATATGAATCTTGAATCAGCTGCTTGCTTTCTCTTGTATGTCTGTTTCAAAATCTAGCACAGAAAAATATTATGAATTGTGCTAGGTGTGTCTGGGCAGGTCAGTCAGACTATTAATGGATGCTCTTAACCTGCCCACTCTCAAACTATTTTCAGTTGCATCAGAATAGCACACAAGGCATTATGCAGTAGTATCTTAGTTTTTAAATGTCAAGAGGGTGCCTATTTTTAGGGGGAAATGAGTTGCAATTTCATGCTCTAAACTTTTTTCTGCCTCAAAACAAGTCCTTTGAGGCATTTTTAAAGTCAACCTGAGTATAGTATTGTATGCCTTAGAATAACTTTTACTCAGTAACTATCACCACAGGCTTTCCTTTCCCCCCTCTAGCTTTGGACATGTCCCAAGGATGCTGAACGTCTAAGGCAATATTCTTCAGATTTGGCTGCTGACCCTTGGTCGTGGTTGAACCTGTCTTTGTATCTCTCTTGGGGGTGGGGGGATGATAAGCAGCAAATGATGATTGTAGATTATATTCCTCTTGCTGCCTTCTGTGTAAATACTCTATTATGATATATGTCTCTTTCTCTATTTTCAGTCAACGTTGTGGAAGCTCTCCAGGAATTCTGGCAGATGAAGCAATCACGTGGTGCTGATCTGAAAAATGGTGCTCTGGTGGTTTATGAGATGGTCCCATCTAACAGTCCTCCTTATGTCTGTTATGTCACATTGCCTGGGGGGAGCTGTTTTGGCAGTTTTCAGGTTAGAATGTGTTAACTAGATGTTTTGATTACTTTTTGTTGTGGTGGTCTGGAACTCTGATCTGGTGGGGTCGATTAAAAGTTCCTTAGGCTGTGTACAGATGGCTTTAGTGGAGCAAAGCCAGAAAATTTCCCTTCATACCACAACCATGGCACTAGCCCTGATCTAGTACAGGCAGCTAGAGAATTCTACAAATATATCCTGTGGATATGAGAGCTGCTCTGTGGTCTGTATGTGTGTGTGATTCATCACGGGCACAATCTGGTAGGCACAACTGTTAACGTGAAATGTGCATGTATCTCTTGCGGTGGTACTAATTATGTTTGGGAGGGCTTGATTGTTCCCAGCAAAATGGTTCTGGATTTAATGGTGACTTACTGGGCAAAAATGGTGTCTCTTCTTAAGGTCACCTCACCTAGGAGGTTTTGCTTGATAGATGTCATCCATTCCTTTCATCAAAATGCGTGGCCTGTCTGTACGGGAGTGTTATTTCATACGGTGGATAGCTCAAAACCAATTTCCCCATGTGCAGGGGTGTGTATGTAGAGGCATGCTTAAGTTTTTTGCCACTAATTTCTAAACCAGTGTTACCTGTTCATACCAGCAGGCAGTCCTTGATGGGAGCATCGTTGTGGTGTGTGCATGTTTGATTTCTGTTCTGCAAATGTGACTTCAGCATGCAAAAATTGGAAATAGTGTTGTTTCACACACCACAATGATGAAAAATACTGCCAGTGCTCCTTCAGCAACAACTGGTGGAAATAGGCATGCTGCATCCTTTTCTTTGGGCTATTGGAAACAAAATGGCTAGATTGTTTTCGGGTGAGGTGCAAATGGAGGTGGCGGGTGTGGCAATAGATAGCACACAGCAAAACATGTCCATACACATAAAAACCCACACAGTTGGGTAACTTGTAATTTTATATTCCATTTTTACACTTAGCAGGCTGTTTGGGGAAATCCAAGTTTGGGGGAAAGTGTGGGCTGCCAGTTAGAAGAGCTGGATGTTATGTGGATGGATACTACAAAGACAAACTGAGACACAAGCAGCCTCAAGCCTGCATTAAGCTTTTGTGTGGAGTATCCCTTAAAGTCCATCCAATTGCTGTAGTAAATCATAAGTCTCTTGATTGTCCAAGACCAGTGTGTGAAGCATTATGGTGTAAGTGTCATTGTGCCATAAACTTCAGTATATCTTCCTTCCTACCTCAGTTTCAGTAGGTTACAGACTTAACACTTGGAAGTCCAGGGTGGCCCTTACTTTTGGCTGAACCCAGGCTCTGTTTAGTGGGCTTAAAACAGGTATCCCAAACAAGCAATCCTGGTTTCTGAACTGCCTACCCACTTAGAGAACAGCAATGGGTGTTTAGAATAGTGTGTTCACAGCTTGGTTTTAGCTAATTAATTTTGTTGACAGACCCGGTTGTGGTATTTCCTTCTCCAAATAATATGTGCTGACTTCAGCTGCCTGTGTAATTCTTGCATTGTAGATGGCTGGAGTTTCTGGGTTTAAAGAGCCCGTTCCTAATGACTTCAGGATGTTGGAGAGCACCATGTCAGCATGCATAGCTGCAACCTAGTAATTTGGGGTAGAAATACATACTTCATAGTATGTGGGATCTAACTGATCTTGGCTTTCGTGATTCCTGTTCTTAAGCATGCCCTGTTCTTCTGTCTCCGCCTGCCCCCTAGTTTTGTCCTACCAAAGCTGAAGCCAGGAGGAGTGCAGCAAAAATTGCACTGATGAATTCAGTGTTCAATGAGCATCCGTCCCGGAGAATCACAGACGAGTTTATTGAGAAGAGTGTCTCGGAGGCTCTGGCATCTTTCAATGTGAGTGCTTTTCAAAGCCCTGCGGCTATAATTGGTGGGGACAGAATTGCTGGGAAGCATCACGACTCCATGGGAAGGGAAATTCTTTGCATCTGGAAACCCTTATTGGCAAGGTTTCTAACAACTCTGGGAATGTCATCAAAATAAACTGTTAAACACCCACCCAGCCCATGCTCTCTTCTCTATTGAATGCAGAGCTTCTCCCAGTTGCATTTTTGTTAATTTGCCCTTGACACTTTCACTACACCCTGTGTGGAAGCTCTCTGGAGTACTATACTGTTCTAATTCCAGAGCCATGCAAAAGCACACCAGAGTTTTCTGAGCTCTGATCAACATTCTTGTGAAATACTTTAAAAAAAACCCAAAACTGATAACTCTCTTCTTTTTGTGGTTCATGGTGGGGGTGGAATGTTTGATCTGGGTTCAAATCCTGCCTCTGTCATGGATTTATGGGACAGCCTTGAGCAAATTGCTCTCACCTCACCCTTTGTCTCTAAAGTGGGAATAATGTTGAGCTTTTCAGTGTTGAGGAAAAATAGAATAAAGATCCTAAAGTGCTATGCAATTGTGAGATCATAGGTTTAATTACACTAGACACCTGTTTATCTGAAAATCAAATTCATATATTTTTGTGTTTGATATCTTCTGCATTAATTACCTGCTTCCAGAAAGAGTGGCTCCAACTACCACCCAACCATTGCTTTTCTGCTGTAAATTACAAGCAGAATTGGAACTGCCTTTCCACACATTTGCTTTTTCTATGTATACATTCTGCTACATATAGAAGTAGAGTGCCACAGAGTTCTGTCCCAGGCCTAGTGGTGTTTAACATCTTTATAAATAACCTGGGTAGAGGTTATGCTCATTAGATTTGCAGATGACACCAAACTGAATGGTGCTGAAGGCATCTACACACCTGTAGAGATTGCACTACTCTACTGCTCTATGGGTTGTGGGGGGAGTCCTGACTTTCTGTAGTCTGAGGATAGAAAAACCACAGGGGGGGAAACAGGGTGACAATATTTGGCTGATGCCCTGTAAAATGTATGACAATTCCACTCTAAATGCCTAGTGTAAGCACTTGATGCTTGATTAATAAGACAGCAAAATGTATTGAAGTTCATTGCATATCTACACTCTAAACCTTTTGTTGTGTACATATTTAAGCGCCAAATAATCTTAGGAACCATAATATGGTGAATAGTGGGGGTTTGGCTAAATTGCTAGCCATACTCTTGCTGAGCCACAGTTCTAGGGACTGGGAGTGTGAATGCCTATTAAACTAGATGAACTCTGGTTTAATTATTTCTGTGTGAGTGTAACTGGAATGCCTGTTGTGTGGTGTGAGGAAGCTTATTTGTGAACCATCAAATTGAGATGTAAGAGTCATTCTTAAATAGCTTGTGTATCTTTCTTCAGCTGTCCTGCAACCATAAGAAAATGGCTATGTTTATATGTTATGCTAAATGGGTTAGTGATATGTGTGTGAGCTGGAATGAGCCTGAGCAAAGCCTTGAGCTTGTGAATTCACCCTTCCCTCTCTTTTTTGGGTATGGACAAGAGACAGAGTTTTCCAGTGTTTCAGTTTCTCTTAATCTCAGTATAGTCATAGTTTGTTTATTTATATACAGCTTTCCCCACAAATTTTACTCAGAGCAGTCCACCAAGGCTGCCCTGTCTGAGAAAGAAGGATGTCTATTAAACATCACACCCTTGCTTGTATCCAAATGCTGTGGAAATACCTCCTTAGAGGTCTGTCTGCCCTAAGCTCCTTGAATGTTTGTCTTTCTTGCAGGGCAATAGAGAAGAAGCAGATAATCCAAGCACAGGCATTGGTGCTTTCCGCTTCATGTTGGAGTCAAACAAAGGAAAGTCCATGTTAGAGTTCCAGGTACTCTTTTTACTATGATTAATTATTCCTCCGGAGCTGGCCCTACCATTAGGGAAAGTGAGGTGGGAGGGAGCTGCAGCAAGTTGTTGGGGAAGAAGAGGAGTGTGTTCCATGTCGGCTGCCTTGTCCTAGCCTGTTGCCCTCAGGCACTGTGGAAGACACATTCTCATTACCAGTATTAAAGTAAGATTTTGCTGCCAGCCTGATCAATCTATGTACATGGAATGAGAGTTGGTGCCGCCTTGTACTTTGCCACAGGCAGCAAAATGTGTTGGGCCAGCCCTTCATTCCAGCCTTGTGTGCTGTATGCATAATGGGACCAGTCAGGCTACATTAAAAAAAAAGGCCTATTAAATGCAAAGTAGAAAGGGAACCCAAGTGGTTTAGTAATGCAGTATTTTTTTCCAGTTCAGACACACACTGCTGAGCAGCAGAGGGCTTAATTTGCCACAACTCAGGAAGATGAATATTTTAAGACTAACACCTCTGCAGTTAGCTTTAAAATAGGTACTTAAGGGATTAAAGCTTGTAATCGATTGGGCAGTAGACTGAAGTGATGGCTTTTGAATTTCTTACCAACTCTAAATCCTCAATCTTGTGACAATTTAAGGAATTTATGCTTTGTATTTATTCTGCTTTTAGGAGGAGAGAAATTTGTCTAGTTCTGTCACTCCCCCGCCCCCCGGACCACTTCAAAATTGCTAAGAGTTGTGATGGAACACTTAATTATTTTTCTGTCTGTTGTAGCAGTTGTAATGCACTGTGCTAGATGCTATATGATTTTTCATTTTCATTTTATTGCTTCTTTTATTTCCTATTGATGGTGTTTGAATTTTGTGGAATTCACATTGTAATACAATAAAATACAGTATAAGAAATAAAAGAAGCAATAAAATTAATAATTAATATGAATATTTAATGTGATAGATGTGCCGTCCCCCTTCTTCAACCAAAATCCACAGACATGCTGTGGACTACCTGAATCAAGCTCATTAGCCATTGGTGGCCCATGGATCACAGTTTGAGAACCCCACCTCTAGTTTACACTGTAGTGGGACTTGAAAGCTTAGTGTCTGTGAATGGCAGAGGTATCATGCAGGATGCTTAAGCAATTAAACCTTAAAGTGCACTAATGGAATGTGAACGTTGCTTATTGTATGTCTAGGAAGAAATCTCTGATGATCACTCTGTGCTAGCAGCACACTGAATAGACAATAGAGAGACATTATGTCAAGGGAAAATTGGGCCCCAGAGTTTCACTGCTAGGGGCTGGAATGGAGCCAGATTTGTTTTTTCTTTTTCTTTTTGAAGGCAGGTGCCTCAGCCTGTGACTGCAGATCAGCTTCCCTGGTGCTGATGTCTCCTTCTCTAGTTATGATAACATTGCAGTAGGTTAGCAGAGCAAGGTTTATATCAATGGCCCTGCTTATACAGAGTGACTCACTTGGTTATGTATTACCTCCTGCTCTTGCTGTATTTATGGACCTGCCTGCCTGCCTATGTGAGGGAGTTTTATGGGATAGTTTTTGGCCTGAGCTTCTGCTGGCCTTCATGCAGTGTTGTAGCTCTAGGATTCTTAGTGGTACATGCACATGGAAGACCCAAACCATGAGAATCTCTGACGGTCTTCACAGTCCTTCTGTGTAAGTGTCAGGGTATTTTCCCAAGGCAGCTGGAATGGTTCTTCTAGGCAACAGGCCTGCATTGTCTTGAACTCTATCATGCTACATTTTTTGCTACCCTCCTGGGACATACAAAAGGCCTTTGTAAGAGCTGGGATTTTCACCCATGGCGCTGTGATCCCTCTGCTATATGACACTGTTTTGGAGAAAAACAGCTGGGGAACAGTTAAGCTGGCACTCAATCCCTCTCCCCACCCCAAATACAAAAACTTACAACAGATTTGAGGAGGCTCTTGGCTTTTCTTTTATTAGGGGCAAATGCACTTGGTAGAATTCTGCCAATAATTTTGGGTGATACCAGTTTTTTTAAAAAAAGGTTTTTATTTATTTTCCATGGTACAGAAGATACATTCTGAGAAAACAATTGTTACAACAGTAAACAACAAACAACTTGTTCCGATATGATTATTACATAGCATGACAAAAGTCTGTAAAGTTTCTTTTTATTATTCTAAAAAGATCATGCCACATTTCCCCATGAGCGTTGCGTGGATTCCTGCCGCAGTCTGAAAAATTAATGTATTCAGTAACATTTGCCATATGTTATAAAAGGAATAGGGATTGTGTTTGTCCTTTCCTGCTCTGACCTGACATGTTAGTTTCTTGCCCAACGCTATTGACCATACGCTGGTGTACCAAGAATTGAAGTTCAGCCCAACATCTGGCTAAGTGGTCATAATTAGGGTGATCTTAGGCAGACAGGATAGTAAGTCCAAGTAGTGCTAGTGCATGATATATTTCAGTGGTTTTGTTATATATCAAGCTTACTTCTTTGAATATATTTTAATGATATCTATCGCAAAGCCACCACATATGGAAATATGTACCTTTGATTGTGCACCCCCTCCAACAATTAGGGTTGACCTAGATATTTGGGATAGCCTCACAGGTGTATAGTGCCACTTATGCAGAAGTTTTAATGAGGATTCCGATTTTTGCATAAACCAATTTCAACTGTATCTTGGACCACAAAGCTGTCCACTTTTCATTTGCTATTTGTGCTTCTATGTCCATCTCCCACAGTGTTTTTGTGTACAAAAGATTGCTACATTTTAGGTTTATTAAAGCTTTATAAATTGAGAAAGTTATACCCTTAGAGAATGGAGAGGGGTTGGTGGACACCAATTTTATGTATTTATACCCCACCCGTCAAAATCTTTCCCAGGGTAGTTTACTGACAGTGGTAATCATACAAAAGTACTGTATAAAATAATTAAGGCATACAATAAAACACAAACAATCCACAGTCTAAAAGCAGCATAAAGCCGATAAACATGGATTTATAATTCAGAGTTTGAAAGGCCGGGGAAAGCAAAACATATTTCCCTGTTGCTAAAACGACACCATAGCAGGCAGGCACCCTGTCAGCCTCCCCAGAGAGAACATTTCACAAATGGAGCACCACGACTCTGAAGGCCCTTTTCTCTAGTCGCCACCCACCACATCTGTAATGATGGAAGCTTAGAGGAGGGCTTCCAAATATGATCTCATGCAGTTAAGTTCTTTTAGAGAGGGCAATCCTTCATTCTGACTCCTCTCTGTGAATGGACTGAAAGGAAAATCCCAACACTTTGGCTAGGGCCTGGAACGGACTGGGAACCTGCATGTGTGCCTCTCTTCTCACCATCAAGAGAGGTTTCCAGTGCCTGGTCACTGTTAGCAGCCTCACATCTGTATTTTGAGTTTCCACACTATTTTCAAAGGCAGCTGCATGTACAATGCTTTTTCAGTAGTCTAATGGACAAGGCTACCAGAACATGGTCAACTGAGGCTTGGCCATCTTGGTCTATAACAGGTAGCAGCTGGTGCACTAGAGCTCCATGCCACAGAAGCAGGCAACCAGCAACTCCAATAACAAGTGTGGTTCTATGAGCACTCCCAAATGGTGGTCCTGCTTTATTAGACAGAGTGCTGCCTAAGTAGATTTAAGCACCACCTTCATAGATGGATGAGCTATCCACTGCCAACAACACCTCCATTTTGTCTGAATTGACCTTGTTTATTCACCTTTATCCAGTACATTATAGACCCCAGGCACTGGTCAGTGCTTCCAGAGTCTGATGAAAAAGAGAAACAGAGTTTGGTGTCATCCCCATGTTGACGATGCCTCACTCAACATTTTCATGTAGATGTTAAAGAGTGGGTGGGTGGGAGCTAGATGAAGCCTTGTGGGATACCTTAGAGCTGAGCCATAGTAGCAGGTGAAGGTGTCTTTCTCTCTCTCAGAACATCTAGTTACACTTCCTCTGAGAAGCATTTCACCCATCAGTGGACATCTCTTTAATTTCCTTCTCTTTGCTTCATTAGTGTTGAAACAGTGCTTAAAATTGGGCTGCTTTTCTTTGGCAGGAGCTGATGACTGTCTTCCAGCTGCTGCATTGGAATGGCAGCCTCAAAGCCATGCGAGAGAGACAGTGCTCACGACAGGTAAGCAGAGTCTGCGGATGGGATTCCTGAACCTTTGGAATGACAATCCTGTCTTCTGTGTGGGATTCATGTGGCTGGCAGTGGATTCTCCCAATGCAGTATGGGAGGGTGATCCCAGGTGTAACCCATGAACGTCTTTGTAGTAAAGGCTTTTATATGTCGCCACTTGCCTTCAGCACAGGCTGGGTAAGCTTCCCTTTTCAACAGAGTTTATTTGAGTATACTCACTTGGGTCTTCATGGGGCTAGTGACTTCTGGCTAGATCAACTTTCCAGCAGGCACACCAACAAGAAGTGATTGCCTAAGCTTTCTTGTTGCTCCAGCCCTCACTACTGCATCGTAGTCATGTCTATCTGTGCCAATCAGTTTCTGTTTTCCCAGTCTTCTTTGAAGTCCCACTTAAAGTATGCACATCATCTCAGTGGCAGATGGGCTGGCCGTAGTGGTTCCTCTGTGGTTGGTCCCTGCCCATTCCATTCCACAGCCCTGGTATTTGGAAGACACTAGTTTCATCAGTCAAATGCTCATCTGCTGATCTCTCTCTCTCTCCCTCCTGCTAGGAGGTGTTGGCTCACTACTCTCACCGTGCTCTCGATGACGATATAAGGAACCAGATGGCAATGGACTGGGTCAATCGGGAGCAAAATATCCCAGGGGCTCTTTCAAGGGAGCTGGCCTCAACAGAGCGGGAATTGGATGAAGCCCGGCTGGCTGGGAAAGAGCTGCGGTTCCACAAGGAGAAGAAAGACATTCTGATGTTGGCAGCTGGCCAGCTGGGGAACATGCACTCTTCCAACTGTTGAGAAACCCCAGAGAGCTGTTCTGTTTCCCCTTCCCTTCCCTACACTCTCACTTCACTACCAACTTGCTAATGGGGTATGACCTACAGCTTGTTACAAAACTGAAGGGGGCAAAATGTCCAGCCAAATTCTCCTAATTGGCTTTCAAATTTTTCTTACGTTATCAGTCATGCAACATGCTGTTTGGATTTTGGATTTTTAAGTCTAATCTGGTTGTAGATTGTTGAGATTTGGCAAGTGAATAACTTGTATCGCCAAGCAGATAGATACACCCAACCCCTATTTTACTTACACACAAACACCATTTTTCAATATACTTCAGCCAGAGAGAAATATCTCAAAATCTGAATGTTGAAACTTGGTCAGGTTGAGTTTGTTCATAATTGAGCTTCAGTTCTAACCTGAATCACATCACTTAAAGAGTGTGCACAGATGCCTCTTTTTGAAGAATAGGGGCCCATTTGCACATTTTTAAAACCTCTGTTAAAAAAAAATTCTGTATAGATTTTATAATGTACTTGGATATTCTTAGTTATCTTTTTTCTCTTTGGGATAGAGAATTTCTTATTGATTCACTATAGAGCACATTTTTAAATGTAGCCTTTTTAGTGTTAAATATACTAATACTCATTTAGTCCTAAATTCTATCCAGGTACTATACAGTATTAAGTGGAAATGTAGCATTGCCAAGAGGATACTAGTTTTGCCATGGATATAAGGCATAAACTGTATGTTAGGCAAATGTATTCCTGCAGTTTATGTAGTTTGATACACTCCTCTTCCCCTTGCCACCTGATAAGCACAGCACTTAAAACACTCCTCTTCACCGTTCTCGAACTACTATTAAGGTTTTTATTTAGTTGGTTAATGGCATCTTGTTCTAGCTGGTGTCTTGATTGCAAGGTTCCACAGAGTTTGAGCAGTTCCCTATTGCTGCAAGGGACGGGGTGTATCTCGTCATAGTGGCTGCATTTGCGCATCACTGTGTAAACTGTTGTTAATGGCTGGCTGTCATGTCACTCCACCCCTAGCACAAGTGGGAGCAACAAACCACAATGTCTGACATAGCAGACATACTGGGTTGCTTTTCTCTCTCATAAGTAAAATACAACCCATCTAGTTGCGCTTCACGAACGAATTGCATCGCTTAAAGGAGTCAACACCAAATCACCTGGTGCTATGTGCTCTCACGACTTAGATTTTCTTCAAAAAAAATTATGTGTAGATACCCATGAGATAACCTCAAATTAATATTTTAAGATTTTTTGGTCCAATATTGGGTGCAGGAGAATTTTTGACGATTTTTGCATGATTTAGGCTAATGCACTTTCTGCGTCAGTTTAAAAAAACCTCCTGTTTTGCTTATTTTTCAACTGATTGGGCTTATTTTGGTATCAAAATAAAGCTAATTGTGGCCTCTTTAAAAATAAGGTATAAAAATGGTATCAAGTGCCACAGACAAGGGTCACCAACCATTCAAAGTGAAATTTTGTCATTTTATTTCTGGTAGGTTCAATAAGCCATAGCACGCAAACCACAACTAACACGTGTATCAATCTTGTGAGAGCAGGGTTGAGTATTAAAATCAGGTGATTTGGCGTGGAATGACCCCTTTATAATGAATCTTAATGAGGAGCTCCCAGCCTTTGGTATTGTAGTCTCTCTCCTTTCCTCTTGCAGGGAAGGAAGATAGATGAAGTGTTGTTTCTAAGGTGTTCAGCTGATTTAAAAGAAAAAGCCCTGACTCATTTTCTTTCACTGCTAGCTTCAGCTTCTGGATGAATGCAGAATCATAGCTGCCAACGTTTCCCTTTTTTAAAGGGAAATTCCCTTATTCCGAATAGGATTCCTCGCAAGAAAAGGGAAAAGTTGACAGCTATGTGCAGAATCCTTTGATTGTGTTGCAGATACCATAGGCTTATCTTGAGTCAAAGGGGGAGCACTACTTTGTTGTTATGGTTGTGTTTGACCTTCATATCAGAGCACTGGATTCAGTTGGTGCCTCAGAAGGGTCTACTTCCATGATTTGCTTCTGTGAACTGTGATGTGTGCAGTCCACAAATCATGCTATTTTGGTTCATTTCCAATTGAGCAGCCTCCTGTGTCTTGGGAGACCTCATCGGCAGAGTGCTCTGTGAGTTAGCCTGTCACACAGTAGCTAGAGCTACTTGTTTGAAAGTGAAGAACTGTGATTGTGCAGCTGCAAGGAGAAATGCCTCTTGGTTCGAGCAACATTAGAAAGTTACAAAAATTTGTAGAATACAAACTTTATATATGTATGCACTTTTATATAAAAAAGAGAGACTGAAACTAGGAGCAGGACTCTTAAATAGCAATACTGACTATGTATATAGAGAAAGTTGCTTGAAGCTTCAGAGACAGAAGTGCTCTGCAGATCACGTGTAATATGAGGGAAAGCTGATGTAGATGTAAGGGGGAATCATCTCAGCCACCCAAAAGCCAAGATCACTCATCTGCACTGTGAGGAGAGCATTGCGTGTTCTGTGTCTGACTTTGTCACATCTGCCTGGTAAAGAACTGCCTTCCAAAGCACACCCTTAAGATTTGGGACTAAGACAGTATCATGAACTAGCAAAATGTGATGTTTAAGGATTAAAGGGGGGAAATAAAATAGGTTACAGAGGGGGACTAGTACTCTCAAGAGTGCTGTGTTGTGACACTTTTGAATAATCTTCCTGATTAACAGTGCAATCTGAGGAAGTCCTGTTGAGTTCAGTGGGGTTTGTTCCCCTTTAAGTGGGTACAGGATTGCAGCTCTAATTGAGCTTGCTTGAGATAATTTTGTTACCACATAACACTTAAATATCTTATTAAGTTGATACAGTAACAGTACTACTTCCAATTTTCAGTGCGTAATTTGAGGTGAAATTAGGGTTATAATCTACTTTATTAATTGTGAACACAGAACTAGGGGGTAACAGTTACTTCCAGGTTGATGCTAAATCCAGTGGAATCTTTTGTGTACATGGCATTGACTTTATTTTTAAAACTGCATAAGGAAAATAACAGTAGTGGTGATTCTGACTCGGAGCTTTATGTAGTTTACTTACTGGAGGTAGGGAGCTATCCAGAAGCACAACTGTAGGACTGTGTGATTGGGGAAGGGGGAGTATTGGGCTAACATTAGTGCCGTTTTGAGTGTTTCCTACCCCAGATTTTCAGGGTCTGACTTGTCATCAGACCTGTTGCACCTTAACCCATGTGCAACAGCATTCCTGTAGCCTTGGGATTAATTGTCATGGTTACACTTTAAAAACACTTCACTATTTACAGGGTAGAATAAGAGTTTAATCAGAACATCCTTGATGTTGCCTTTCTGGTCTTGACATTGGGCATGGAAGATTGTTTCTAACTGGAGGGAATGAGGAGAGGCAGAAGACAGTGTCTCCCATATATTTTCTCCCCACTTCCTTGCAAGGCATTAGCTTACCCTTACTGTGAACAAAGGTCTTGGATCCCTTTGATTCTTTCTACTGAAAGGGAAAATACCCTGGCTTCCTGCAACTCCATCCTGGAAGTCATTTTGTGTTATAATGTGTTTATAGTAATTCTTCTATCTCAGAAGATAATCTTCCAGGGTATTGTCACCAGGAATGATGGAGCTAGATGACCTGTGCACTCGGACTATATTTTAACTAGAACATGCCCTTGAATTGATGCTGCCTTGATCAATTTGCCTTGTTCAGCACTCAAAGGGCAAAAGACATTTCGTATAAAAACAGTCTCAGTGCTGACAGCTGTATATAGCAACACATGGTTTGTGATAGTATTGTTGAGTCCTTTTATATGGTAATTAAAACTGACAGGCCCTTGCTTATAGTTGTATCTTATAGGAGATTGGTACAAAGTGAAATTGCTGTCTAGGGCCCGAGAGCCACAAAATATTAGAACCAACATCAGCTGGAAAAACACCAGATTGCTTCCCCAAGGTTTTTTGTAACTTTCACATGCATACCATTCCTCACAACTGGCATTTGGGTCCTAAAAGAATGGTAGTCCTGCAAAATGTGGGTGAGGAGAAAGGGGTGTGTCAGCTGTTAATGCACTTCTGTGTCCTTTGTGTGCTGCTTAGGAATGCAGTTGTATACAGGAATAAGAACTTGGTGCTTCAGGAAGTGTGGGTAGAACGCTCTGAATTGGGCATTAGAAGCTGAGGACAAGACACACACACAGAGGGATCCAAGTTAAGTCACGACTAACCTGGTTCCGTTGGTTTCAAGTAGACATACTAACTTAGCCTAGATACAACTCTATGTGTACAGGATTATTTTCCACCTGGGAATCACCTTACTGCTGAAGGCCTTTAGTCTCTTAGCCAGATGGTGTATAAGCAGGTGTATAGTCCTTCAGTGAGGCTTTGCAGTCAGACCTCCAAACAGATACTTCATAACTGTGGGAACTCAGACTACCACTCTGAGAAAGGGAGAATAGACAAAGGGCTGCAGAAGATATGTGGAGATGGTAGTTGTTCCATAGGGAGCTCAAGAAGTGGCATTATTTTGGCCTCCACACTATGTCCATTTGTATAACTGAAATAATAAATCAGTCTTGTCCTTTATATATATATTTTTATATACAGCTTTGTTTACACAATAGTATTAATGTTGAAATGCATTTATAAAGTTGGCTTATAAATAATCCTTTGACAGTTTGTATATGAATGTCTCACTTGCCTCACTTACTACTTTCTATTAGAAACAAACTATATACAGGGTTTGAGTTTTTTCTTTCCAAACATGTGGCTCTTGAATTTTCCTTGCGGAGAGACCTGCCTACAGACATTTGCCTCTGGGCAGGCCCCAGCTGTCACCTATAACCTGATCCCCCACATCCCCTCCTTTTGGTGCTGGTTTTCTGAATAAGCTGCCTTCCTCCTCATCCTCCTCTTCACTCAATATTTCTACTGTCCAGGTTTTCAATGCTGTTTTTTTCTAGTTCAGAGGTTACCGTACCTAAAATAGTTCTACATACTGTCTGCCTTTTCTTTTACTATATGCGATAAAGTCCAGTACTTAATTTTGTAATGCCTAATTTTATACAATAAAATAGCATTTTTTTGAATCTTTGCTTGCCTTGGTTTTTCCCCAGTTAGAAATTCGGCCATTAGATTTGTCCCCAAAGCTTGTTCTGTCAACAGGTTAGAGCCTAATCTGTTTCTTCTCTCTTCCTTCCCCCACCTTCTTAATGATAAGCCTTTGCCATTTGGCTGCAAGAGCTTAAAAGCTCCAGACATCATCCTGTCTGCAAAATTAGTGCATGGATTGATAGTCTAGACTAGAGCATGGGTAGGCAAACTAAGGCCCGGGGGCTGGATCTGGCCCAGTCACCTTCAAAATCCGGCCTGCAGACGGTCCGGGAATCAGTGTGTTTTTACATGAGTAGAATGTGTGCTTTTATTTAAAATGCATCTCTGGGTTATTTTGGGGGTATAGGAATTCATTCATTTCCCCCCCCTCAAAATATAGTCCGGCCCCCCACAAGGTCTGAGGAACAGTGGACCGGCCCCCTGTTGGAAAAGTTTGCTGACCCCTGGTCTAGAGTGGCATTGACATTCAGGAATGGCTGCCCTTTGTCACTCTTCCTAAATGCATGGGTTTTTTTTATTGCAGTGAAAGAGTGCTTTTGGGTGCCCTTCAGTTCTTTAAAACATGCTTCTCCTGGAGATGGAAAAGGGGGAATTACCCCTTCCTCAGCATATTACTCACTGCTTTTCCTTGAATTTTGAGCTGCATCAGAGGAGCACATGAAAAGTCTAGTTCTTTCACGCTAGAAGTCTGTGCCCCGTCGCTCCCCCCCCCCCGCTCCAGGGGCTAAAAGTCATTTAATTCATCTTGCAATATCTCCCCCTTACAAATAATACTTAAAGCTCATCTACCTCTCATCTTCCCTTGGACAAGGTATTTTATAGCCGCTGTGTAGTACTTTTAGGTCCTCATCCAAAAATGGAAAGTGGCTTTCTACTCATGGCTGTGGGACTTGCTTATAAATCAAAAGATTGTCAAATTCCTTTGCATTATGCAAATTATTTGCTAGTTACACTAATTTCTCTAACTCACCTGCACACTTCAGTGGAACATTATTATTTAATTGTGCTTATTTCCCAACTTCTAAAGAGCTCTAGTTGGCATACACATACAGTGGTACCTCGCAAGACGAATGCCTCACAAGATGGAAAACTTGCAAGACGAAAGGGTTTTTGGTTTTTTTAGTTGCTTCGCAAGACGATTTTCCCTACGCGCTTGCTTCGCAAGACGGAAACGTCTTGCAAGTTTGTTTCCTTTTTCTTAACACCGTTAATACAGTTGCGACTTGACTTCGAGGAGCAACTCATAGCACGTGGTGTGGTAGCCTTTTTTGAGGTTTTTGAAGACTCTGGTGATTTTTGAAGCTTTTCCGAAACCGTGCTTCGCAAGACGAAAAAACTCGCGGAACGAATTAATTTCGTCTTGCGAGGCACCACTGTAGTTCTTCCCATTTTATCCTCACAACACCACTTTGGGGTAGGCTACTGGCCCAAGAAGGGACGCGGGTGGCGCTGTGGGTTAAACCACAGAGCCTAGGACTTGCCAATCAGAAGGTCGGCGGTTCGAATCCCTGCAACGGGGTGAGCTCCTGTGCTCAGTCCCTGCTCCTGCCAATCTAGCAGTTTAAAAGCAAAGTGCAAGTAGATAAATAGGTACTGCTCCGGTGGGAAGGTAAACGGCGTTTCCGTGCGCTGCTCTGGTTCACCAGAAGCGGCTTAGTCATGCTGGCCACATGACCCAGAAGCTGTACGCTGGTTCCCTCGGTCAGTAAAGCGAGATGAGCGCCGCAACCCCAGAGTCGGTCACGACTGGACCTAATGGTCAGGAGTCCTTTTTACTGGCCCAAGAGCACCCAGCGCACTTCGTCATCGGGTGTGGATTTGAAACCTGGACTCCCAGGATCTAGTCAGGCAATCTAACCTCTGCACCACACTATCTGGAAAGATAGCTACGGGTAGGGTCCTTCAGAGTCCCGTGTTAGAAGATCCCATTCAGTCTTAGCCACGCCCCTCACCCTCATTTTACAAGCTGGAGCCCTCTGCCCGCCCTATTTCTCTTTAGGCCCTTCTTCCCATGAGGCCTTGCAACGCTCCTTCCGCCTTTGCGCTCGTCGCGCAAAGACCTCCTCAAGATGGCGCTCCACGCGCCCTCCTCCCTCCCACGCCAGAAGCCTTCCCCCAGCCGGCTCATCTGCGCAGGCGTTGAAGTATCCCTAGCTACATAGAGACCTCCTCAAGATGGCGCTCCCAGAGGCGGGCCTTCAGCCAACCCATCTGCGCCGGCGCCAAGCTCTCCCGGCGTGCACTGCGCTCCTTCCGTCGTCAGGCGGGCGGCGAGATTAGCTCCGTCGGCCGAGGAAGACGCTCGAGTGGCCAAGATGGCGGACGTACTGGACCTTCATGAGGCGGGCGGCGAGGACTTCGCCATGGACGAGGATGGCGACGGTAGGGAGAAGCGGGGGTTGGGGTGGCTGATGAACTCTGACTTTGCTCCTCCTCCCCAGTATTATTAGTATTAACGGTTAATTTAATTCACTAGTCACAGCAGCCCTGTAAGGTAGGCCGGTGTGACCATTCCCTATATTGAGTAGAGGGTGGTGACGGTGGCGCTATCGTTTAGATGAGAAAGATGGAACGATTTATATACCGCTTAATCAAAATAAACAGCACCTTAAGATGTTGAAGGCTTGAGGTACCTATTTTTAGGACCCTCCTTGTTTCTGTAATTCCAATAACTGTTTTTAATATTGTGTTTTTGTTGCTGTAACCCGCTCTGGGACCTTGGGGTGAAGGGCGAGTGAATTAATAATAAAATACATGGCTGAGACCCTAGGGACAGAGAGAAGAAAGCAAGCGCTTGGAACAGCCCAGCACTGTAGTCTACTATTACTACCCCTACTTTGCAAAAGGGTCTGTCGTGGACTGTCTCCCTACCCCACCCCCACCCCGCAGGCTGCACTGTATTGTTAGGAGACCTTCTTCACAGCCCTGTATCCTTGTTTTGTAAAGGGGGAAAGCTGAGGACAAGGAATAAGTCTTATCTAAAGCCAGTTAGTGAGCTTCGTTTGCAGCAGTAGCCAATGTGGTGCCTTCAAGATGTTGTTGGACTGCAACTGCAACATCTGGAGGCCACACATGAACCTTTTAGGAAAGCTTTCCTTGCAGGGTGGCTTACAAGTAATAGACTAATTACAATATAGAAAACACACAATTAAAAACTTAAGAACATTCTGGCTACAATACAGTAGGTAACAGGTCCATGCTAAATATTAAAACAGTTATGTGATGCTTTCTCAATACTACCACATTCCTCTACTTCCTTCTGTGGGTTTATTCTGGTGTTGTTTTCTTCCCCAACCCCATTTCATTATGTTTTCCAATCTCAGTGGCTTAAGGCAGCCTTTGCTGACCTGGTGCCCTTCAACTACAACTCCCAGCCAGGTGGGCGAAGGCTGGAATAAGCTGCATCTCGCTCAAGGTTTCCTCCACTCCCAGGCAACATGTGTACATAATGCCTTGGATAGGGCTTGAGAGTGCATGCAGGCAGAGACATGCCACCCATTTAGATAGTCACTTTGACACAGCCTGTTTGATCTCTCTGCAGAAAGCATCCACAAACTGAAGGAAAAAGCGAAGAAGAGGAAAGGCAGAGGGTTTGGGTCAGGTAAGGTGGCTGCCTCGTGTACGTTGCTTAGATATGTGTGTTTATCTCAGAGGTTACGTTATTTGATTGCCTTCCCTTCCTTTGTCTGAAAAATATCAGTGGCAGTACAGTGGAACCTCATGTTACGTACTGTCCTCCTTACGAATGCTTCAGGTTACGAGCTCTGCTAACCCAAAAGTAGATGTTCCTGGTTGCGAGCTTTGCCCCGGAATGCGAGCTGGAGTCGCGTGCCGGTGGCACAGCAGCAGTGGGAGTTGCCATTAGCGCAAGCGCGCCTCATGTTAAGAACAGTTTCGGGTTACAAATGGACCTCTGGAACAAATTAAGTTTGTAACCGGAGGTACCACTGTATTGCCTGTTGATTTGATCTGCCGTTGGTTGCCACAGGGGGGTCGGTGGGCTGCCAGTTATAGCTGGTCTTGCTGGGTAGCCAGATTTTGTTTTTGCCACCGCCCTTAGAGGAAAGGGCATGGTGTTGTTTCCAACCTCACACTGAGTTTTCTCCATAGCCCTGTATAATTGCCCTCGAAGCAGAAAGGATGTGCTCAACACTCTCATGCTTAGTTTCCAACTTGCCAGAGTGACGACACATTCATTGCTCCTGGACAGCTGCAACAGCCAGAAAAGGTGGACAGCCTTATGAGCAGGCTCTCAAGCTGTGGCTGTGAGGGGAAGTGGCTGCTTTCTGGGGGAGTTACTCTGTGGAGTGTTTGACCTCTGGGGGAAGCATTGGAAAGCACAGGGTTGTCATTTTGGAGGCACTCAGGGCCCCTTCCCTGAAGGAGTTTTAATAGGGAACATCGTTGCAGGTGCTTCAGAGGGAATGTCTGTGCAGAGAGTTATACTTTCTAGTTATTGGGACTGAGGATGTGAGATCTGGGTTGTGGTATCCCTGAGGGTGATGCCTGGGGAAATTAGTCCCTGCTGCTGATGTGTATTACATGCCATTAACCTAAAATAAGGGTGTGGGTGTGTTGGGAGGGTTCCACAGCACCATTAGTGCTTTCTAAATCATATTCTGGTTGCTTTGCTTTTTGTTTCTTTGTGTGTTGGTGCATATAATCAGAGGAGGGTTCCAGAGCCCGTGTCCGTGAGGATTACGACAGCGTGGAGCAAGATGGGGATGAGCCGGGTCCCCAGAGATGTGAGTACGTGTCCAGAGAGCATGTTCTCTCTCCCATGTCCCGCCCACCCTAATTGGCCAATGGTAACCTCTTTCCTTTGCATGAGGCAGCCCACGTTGAGATGTGCACAGCTCATGACTCTTTTTTGTCCTGCTCTTTGTTGTTACAGCGGTGGAAGGCTGGATTCTCTTCGTCACAGGTGTCCACGAGGAGGCCACCGAGGAGGACATTCATGACAAGTTTGCAGAGTTTGGGGAAATCAAGAACCTCCACCTGAATCTTGACCGGCGGACAGGTTACCTGAAGGTACAGGGGTGGCTGCTTTTGTGCTCTTTCTGGAGATAGTCAAGGAACGCACCTTAATAGTGCATTGCTATAACTACCAAAAGCCTCAGATCTGCTCCCTGTGACTGCAGGCACAGATAGGTTCTAGAAGCTGGGGGAGCGGGGGCTATCTGCAGGTTTCTCAAAAGAGCCATGGGATATGCACAAAAGGCATTGAAAGGAAAGCATAAGAAGAGGAGGCTGATTTTGTCAATATGTTATTGCATTTTGTCAGCCTTATTTCTTGCCAGTGTGCTTGTCAGTGTTGAATCATGCTACAAATAAGGTGTCCTGGGATCAATCAGTTAGTCTGACCAGGGGAAGTTTGTTCAGACTGCAGCAGTGGAAGAGAAGGAAAGCAAGGACTCTCCATCAGTTCAACTGAGAGACCAGCAACTTTTGGCACCTAGTTCTCTTGAACTGTTTCCCATTCCATCCAATAGTTAAAATAACTATGACTAAGAATGTGAGCCTGAGTTTGCCTTTTTCCTTCTCCTTCCTGCTTTCATTTCCTTCTGTGTTATGTCCTTTAGATTTGGCTGAAGAACAGCCTAAAAACCCTTCCAATAAATGTTTGAGTGAATTATGTTTCTTCCCCTGAACGTCCTCGTATTTTACAGGGCTACACCCTGGTAGAATATGAAACGTACAAAGAAGCCCAGGCAGCCATGGAGGGACTGAATGGACAAGACCTTATGGGGCAGCCGATCAGCGTGGATTGGTGTTTTGTCAGGGGACCTCCGAAAGGGAAGCGAAGGTGAGATTTTCCCACTAAGAAGTGGGAGGAAATTGTACATTTTTTTCTCATAGTGAGCTAAAAGGTAGAGCAAACTAATAATACTACAGCTCTTTTTCTGTCTTCTGTATATGTTATATACAGGAAAGCTAAGATGAATTTAATCAAAAGATCTGGCTGTTGTCTGGGCCCCGTTAACCTGTTTTTGCAAAGCAATTTGAGCATAACGGAAGACACACTTTACATACCCTTTTCTAATTGTCCATAGTTTTGTATGTGTTCTGTTTTTTGTCTTCTCGATCTCTAAGACTCCCTGCCACTGTTCCCAATTTCAGAAAGGGAACTGAGTCAAGGCTGCACAGTGGACTGATTATGCGCCACAAGCATGAACTGAACCCAGGGCTAAGGCACTGACACTGATCGGGGGGGGGGCGTCTGTGTAATTGTATAAACAAGATTAAATTGCAAACATTTTTTGCTTTGGGGCTTGCCAAATTCTGGTCTTTTGCCAGCAGCAAGCTCTCTTCTTCAGCTACCACTTCCACACTGTGTTTAGAGTTGTCCTCCATTTGTGGCTTTGTGGCATGATAAATGGAGCGCAGTTCTCCAGCAGATACTTCATGAGCCTCATCCAGTCTTGTTAACTTTCTCAGCTTTTGCTTATGGAGAGAAACTCAGCATAATTTAATGGACCTCTTTGTCTCTTCTCTTTCCTCTCAGGGGTGGCCGTAGAAGGAGCAGGAGTCCTGACAGAAGGAGGCGCTAAAGGTGGGGAGGGAGGTTCTCCTTTTTGCGATGCTTGTGATGTTAAGTCCTGGCGAACCAGAAGGAAATGCCCATCTGCACTAAGAGACCATATGCTTGCATCTTTTTCTCTCCCCCCTCCCCCCCCCGGTTAATTTTGTATTTACACAGTTTGACTATTCCTTAATTACTCTCAATCTGATTTCTCAGTTTACATGAGATTTCCTGTTATTGGTGTCCTTGGACATACGTCCTCCTGTGTCTTGGTACAAGTCATTGTGCTTTTTAGTCTTTGAGAAGGGACTGTCTGAAAGCAATGTTCAGAATAAAAAGATTATGGACTTTTTTATATAAAACAATCCTTGCGTTTAACCTTTCTTCCTTTGCTTGGGGGATGTGTTCCAAGGTGGTGGGGTGGCTTCAGAGTGACTATAGTCTAGCACCTCCCCTTTGCTGAGCTGTTAGCCTCTTTTGTGGTTGGATTGCCAAGGGCATCCATAAAAATTCCCAAAACCTGTTTTTATCAGTCTGAAAAAGTTACTAGCCTTCTCACACTTGTCTGCATAAGTCCTTTGTGGCGCATCAAAGGGCCCCGGGGGGGGGGAGCACTAGGGCTCCACAAGTTTATGTCACGCAAGTTTGTGTAGATCTAGCAGGTTTTCATTTCTTTCCCGCCACTTTCCTGGTGCAATTTTTTTAAAGCTTTTGGTTACAGAGCCAGAGAGAATGGGCTGGAACCAAGGGGGTAAGACTTCAAAAACCCCATGGCATTCTGCCTGCCCACCACACTTCATCCTGGCTACCAGAACCAGGACAATATTTGTTCAAAACAAGGGTGCGCACAGTGTCCACAGCTGCCCTCATCTCATTTGTGCATTCATTTCTATTTATTTTATTACATTTTTATCTAACCTTTCCTCTAAGGAACACAAGGTGGCATGTTTAGTTCTTCTGTTCCCCTTGTATCCTCTCAACAACCTAGTAAGGTAGTTTAGGCTGAGTGGCTAACCTAGTGAACTTCATAATTGAGTGAGGATTTGAACTCTGGTCTCCCAGGGCCTAGTCTGATGCCCTAAGCACAACACCACAGTGGTCCTCTTGTCATCTCATTCAAGGCAGAAAATCTGTCAGGGAAAAGATTCATCAGTCTAATTTGTGGAGCATTTTCTTTTTCTTCTGGCAGTCTTTTGAGCCTGCTGGTCCACTGGGAGAAAACTCTGAAAGCAGCCATAAAGTAATGCCTTTTCATTGTTGTCAACCAAAAACTGAAGAAGTGAGTGATTTTCCACAGCCCTCAGATTTACCTTCAGGCTGGATACCAAGTGGGGAGAAGAAGATAGCGAAGAGAAGGACTAGGTATGAGGGGTAAAGCCTTGATTCTACAGTCGAAGAGTCATCGCTCCTGGGGCATAGATTTTCCAAGGGAGAATAGTCCTTGCTTCTCTTGCCTCTTACAGCCTTTGGTGCAGTGTAAGATCCCTGTCCACCAATCTTGGCTTTTAACAAAGACTTGAGCAACTCCCTTTCTGTTTCATTTTTTAGAACAACGGCACAATTCTTAGCTGGGGAGCATTTTCATCACACGCATGCCTGCATCCTTTTCTCTCGCGTCACTCTGTGCCCCAGCCTTTTGTGTCAAACTTGAAAGCTCATTCTCTTGTGATTTCAGTCCCTAACAAAGGTATTGGTCTCTTGTTACTGCTAGACTTAACAGTCAGCAGATGGTATTCAGTGGTGTATCCCTTCTGATACCTGAGGTGGTACACAGCCTTATCCTCCAAGAGTGATTAGCTGTGATTCCTGCATTGCAGGGGATTGGACTAGATGACTCCTGGGATCCCTTTATGGTTTTATGGATAAGCTGTTGATGATCAGCTGCTTCAGTGAGGTGTCACAGGTAGCCTTTGGCCACTGGGTGGGGCTGTGGCTTTATTAGACCGAAACCATGCTCATTAGCAGGAAGGGATCTAGACATGTCTCCTGTTCCATGCTTGATTGAAGTCACAGCATCTCCTAAAAGACAGCTAGGATGAAGAAAGATCAGCCCGGTTCTAAATTGCTGGGAAGCAGATTTCAGGACACATGCAGCAGATGGTGAGAGGTGTTCAACAGCGGCCAACGAAGGAGAGCTTTCCACTTCCCAAGGCAGCTTGTGCTATTGCCTGTTCCTGCAGCTGCCTGTGTCAGCAGGGCAAGAGCCAGCAGAGGACTTTGGGTGAGTTGCAGGCGGCTGGAGCCAGGATCCTGAAGGAGGAAGGGATGCAATCCTTGGAGCAGATGGGGCTGCAGGGAGAGAGGGCAGGAAAGGCTAGGATGCTGCGGGGGATTCAAGAACCCAGGGAGGTTCTGAGGCAGCACAGCAGTGAGGAGGAGGAGGGGGAGAGTAAAGAGAGGCAATAGTCTCAGCAAAGGGCAAAGCCTCCAGGCATTTTATTCCCAGGAGAAGCTGGAGGCAGCGGTGGACTTTGGTAATATGGCAAAATTGATGACAAAATTTGGTGCCTCCCACTACGTATTTCTTATTTTCATGCCCTCTCACCTTCCATTCTGCGGCCCCTCAGCTCACCACCCTAAATCTGACATTTCTGTAGGTTAGCTATGCAGCTCAGTGTTAAGCTATGGGACTCCCACTGGTGTCAGGGATGGCCACCAACCTAGATGGCTCTGGAAGAGGTTTGGACAAATTCGTGGAGGACAGGGCTATTGATGGCTACTTTAGCAGTGTAGGAGAGCGGGGAATCACATCTGGCAGCCAATGCGGCCCTTTGGTTTCAGATAGTACATGGGCAAAAGCCCAAGACACAAATTTTCATAACCCTCTAGCGGCTGTGGTGGCTCATTTACCAGAAGTAATGCATTTTGTGTTAACTCTGAAAGTGCATACTCGCTTCTGACCAATCTAAGCCTCCTAGAGCACAACATAAATCAGGAGGCAAGTTAAATGCGCATAAGATATGATTGTACCATATTACTATTCCTGGGCAACTGCCCTTTTCCATAGCTGCAGCACTAGAAGAGAAATAAGGGACAAGAGAGAGGATGCCTCATTGAGAAAATATTCTGTATTCGTTGGTCAGAGATTTGGAGTGTTGACTATTGCCATGGAAGCTCCTCCAGAGCTCGAATTAGGCCACAACCAGCCACCAAGACAATTTGCCACCTGTAGCAAAGGACAAGATGTCGCCTACCTTCCCTGTGCAGAAGTTGACTGCGCTGACAGTTGTCTATTACGCCAGTGCTGGTGACAAGATAGCACCCTCTACAGCAGGCTGGTTGGGACTGGCAGCTGCATCCCCCAACACCTCCGCCTCTGAATAACTGGCACATGAGGCAGCTGCGTCACTTTGCCAAACAGTAGTGCCGGCCTTCCACCCAACTCCCAGCAGTGAAAGCAAATCCCAGCAAGTGAGGTAATGGGCCATGTTTTATCTACATGTTCAAATGAAGCTCTCCGCCATCTTCTTCCTCTTCAACCCCAGCTTTTTGACCCTCGCCAGCGCCGATTCCGACTTGTGCTTCTTGGGCTCCCTCAGCTGCCTGGTAGCTCCCCCGCTGATGGTGGAAGCTCGGAAGGAGCCGGTGAGCACAGAAGCTCCCTCCATCTCCTTTTCCCTCCGAGGGCAGCAGCAGGCCTGCCCACTCTCCGCCCGGAAGTGCATAGCGAAGAAGCCGTAGATCAGGGGGTCAAGGCACGCGTTGAAGAGGCCAAAGAGGAAGAGAATGTGGCTGAGGGATGGGGGCACCTGCTCCCTGGTCAGCATCTCGGGGGAGAACCAGTACCACAGGCCGAGCAGGTAGTAAGGAGTCCAGCAGACGACGAAAGTCAGGACGATGACGGCAGACATCTTGAGGGTGCGCATGCGCACCCGAGGAATGTTGTTGTAGGAGCGGCGGAGGTGGAACTCCCTGGACTTTGGTGAAGCTGGAGGAGGAGGAGTAAGACGTTGGTGAGAGGCAAAAAGTAAAGGGTCTGGGGGAATTGGGGAGTTGGAACATCCTGGCTGTGAGTCCTGCAAGACCTGCTCCCTTCCTTGCTGGCCTCTTTCCACCTCGCTGGGAGAGCAGGTCCCTGCCTGCCTGACTCCAGCTACATATGTTGAGGCTGCCAAAGAACTAGAAACCATCTTAGATCAGGCATCCCCAACCTTCGGCCCTCCAGATGTTTTGGACTACAATTCCCACCATCCCTGATCACTGGTCCTGTTAGGGATCATGGGAGTTGTAGGCCAAAACATCTGGAGGGTCGCAGGTTGGGGATGCCTGATCTAAGATGCCTTTGGGAGGGTATTGTTGAGGGGTTTTTCAAAAAAATAATATTCATTGGGTTTTTCAAATTAAAATTTTACAGTCACGTGTCCAACTTATAACATAAAAACAAGATTCCAAGGAATCTCCTGGACTTCCCTCTTCCCCTTTGTGGGTCTTTTTGATAGTCATTTCCTCCTGCATCTTTTATGATAATCCAAAATATTTTACTTCTCCGTTATGTCCAAAATTCACCATTAAACTACAAGTGATATTCCAATGCTACTAACCCTTTACAATGGTTTTTAAGGTAACTTATGAATTTCCACCATTCCTTGTTAAAATTTCGCTCTTCCTGATTTCTGATTCTTCCAGTCATTTTGGCATAATCCATCAACGTGATCTGCCATTCTTCTCTAGTAGGGACTTTATCTTCTCTCCATCTCTGGGCCCAGAGTTGTTGTGGGTTTTTTGTTGGGGTCACAATTGGAGATGCTTAATTGATACTAAGATTTGCACCTTTATTTTTAGAACGTGGGGGGGGGCAGGTTGTTTGATTTTCTTGTGTATACTTTGATACAGTTTTATTTCTTGCTTATGACTGCTTCTGTTCTATTTTTTGTAACTCTGTAAATCTTTCTGTGCTGTAAGCCGCCTTGAGCATGGTTTTAAATATGGAAAAGCGTCATACAAATAAACAGGGAGGAGAGGGCTTGTCAATGGCTACTAGCCTTGATGGCTCTGCTCTACCCCCACCAATTGCAGGAGGGGAGGGTGCTGTGATGCTCAGGGCCTGCTTTCCAGTTCCCCCAGGTTTCTGGTTGGCCACTGCGGAAACAGGATGCTGGACTAGATGGGCAATTGGCCTGACCCAGCACGCTCTTCTTATGTTCTTATTAACAGTTATTATTTATTATTAATTGAATTTGTGTACTGTCCTATACCCGGAGGTCTCAGAACAAAATCAAAACATAAAACTACAAAATATATAATGAAAATAAAAACAACCCAATAACACCCTCACATATGCACGGGAAAGGGGGTAAATACGTTCCGGCGGCCTCCCAGGTTTTTGCTGCAAAAATACTCCCACAACTCACTTATGGATCCCAGGTTTGCAGTTTTAAAAAATTTGCGCCTATGGAGGCATTTCAAACAAAATTCTATCGGTGTTTATTGGGGATCCCCCCCTGTGTATCTAATATAGCTATCCGCTTAGAAGTTGGACAACCACCCGTTAATGCGCAGTTGTGGATTCTAAAGATACACTACTGGTTAAAACTTATTTTTCCCCCGGCCGGTTTGGCTCCTTTAACACTCTTAGACACCTTTCATTCTACCTGGAAAGCTTCCCTGTTTGAAAAGATAAGAAGCTTGGGATTCTCCCCACAGATCTTGATAGCGGCAGGATATGAGAGAGCCAGAAGTCAAGTGCTCCAACGCATTAGGGACATAGAGCTGCAATGTCATATGGGCAAAATGGATAAACATGCCACAATTAGAGACTTTGGAAGAGGGTTCTCACCTGCAAATTATCTGGCTGATTTACAAATACCTAAGTACAGACACTCCTTTACCCTGGCCAGGTTTAACGTTCTGCCCTCTGCCCTGCTGCTAGGCAGATATGAGGGCAAACCATATGAGTCACGTGTTTGCCCATGTGGCTCATCGGAAGTGGAAACAAGTCTGCATGTATTGCTGCACTGTAGTTACTACGAGGATCTACGCCTGACCTTTATTGCCCCAGTTCTACAAAAGCTTAAAAATGTACCAGAACCCCAACGTATGAGAGCCTTGGTAGAAGATAAGGTTCCTGAAATTACGATCAATGTTGCCAAATTCTGTGTAGCCGCTATTAGGCGCAGGAAACAAGAGCTTTCCAATGTCAATATGCAGGCGAAGGCAAATACTTAATTTTATTTATGCTGTCTAATTTCAAATTGCTGTTATGGCCTAATCTGTATTGAAATTGTCCTTTGTTTTTTCCGGTGTTATGCTTCGCTGACTAGCTGTACGAGTTAACCTGGTCTGTGACCGTTTAATAAAATTTGATTTGACCCCCACATATTAAAAGGGCATAGGATGTCAATCAAATCAACCCAAAGGCCTAGTTAAAAAGGAACACTTCTGTCTGGTGCAGGCATGGCCAAACATGGCCCTCCAGCTGTTTTGGGACTACAACTTCATCATCCCTAGCTAACAGGACCAATGATCAGGGATGATGGGAACTGCAGTCCCCAAATAGCTGGAGGGCCAAGTTTTGCCATGCCTGGTGCCTAAAGGTGTATAATGAAGATGCCAGGCAAACCTCCCTGGGGAGAGCATTCCACAGACCGGGAGCCACTGCAGAGAAGGCCATACTCCGGAGCCACAGATCCTTAGACTTCAGTGCCCATCAACCCTGACCAAGGACAATGCTGAATGGGGCTGATGGGACAGCACCATCTTATTTATTACTAGCCTTTTAAAAAAAACCAAAGCCAAAAGTAACGCTCCTTCGCCCACCCCTTCTGGGGAGGTACCAGGAGGATAGTTGGCGCACTGCAGGTTGACCTCACCGCAAGCTTTCTTCATCTTTCTCGAGATCTCCACGAAGATGCGGGCGTAGCAAAGGACCATGATTAGCAGCGGCAGGAGGAAGAGGCAGGAGAAAGTGAACATATTGTAAAGGGTCTCCTGCCAGTGAGCCTGGAAGCTCCCTACGGTGGCGCATTGGATGAAGTAGGTGGGCTGAGACCGGCTGACAGTGTGGAAGACAAACACCTGGAGACAGGACGGGGGGGGGGGGAGAGAGAGAGAGAGAGAGATCCATCAGAGTGCTCAATTACCTAAAAAAAAAAATCCAGCAGGCATCTCAATGTAGTGGCTGCATTCACACAGCAGTTAATTCCATTTCCCCAACTGTTAATTCCCAGATTATATTTGGCTTTCACACAACTGTAAAAGCTACATCTGGAAAATTAACGGGATATATAGCACATGCTTAGCGTCCATTTCCGTTGGATTTGGTGGCGGGGGGGGAATGCATTTACAGCCCCCCTTCACCCGGAAAATCGTGGGAGCAAGGTGACAGAATCTGGGGCAGGATAACAGCATGTGGATCTTTCATGCTGTTCTTGTGGGGGAAGAGAAGCAGGCATTGCGGAAAGCGTAGGAGACTAGCGACGTCCAGTGTCACACGTCTGAAGGCACCCTGAGTTTGGCTTTATGATAATTCTTTATTGTCCCATATCTGTGGGTTGTTTTTAGGCGCAAATAATTAATATATAATTCAATGTCAATCCCCTCTTGGAGAAAAGCTATATACAGTACTTCCTTTTTATTTTAAAATCCGGAGAAAGATATTTCAAATAGCATTGGACCACAGCCAGCATTGCACCAGTGAGCATAAGATGAAACCTGCTGGATCAGGCCAAGGGCCCACCTAGTCTGCCATCTTGTCGTCACAGTGGCCAATGAGATCCCTGACCACCAAGGTCTTCCTAACCTACCTCACAGGGTTGTTGTGGAGATTAAGCAAGAAGCAGGAAGAACTGAATTTGCCACCTTGAGCTCCTTAGAGAAAGGGATGGGATATAAATGCATATATATATATATATATATATGCCAATAAAATAAATAGCACCTACCTGAGGTAACGCCAGAACCAAACTCAAGACCCAGGCTACAGACAACATGACCTTATTCTTCCTCTTGGCCTCACTGACGCTGAGCGGGTGCAAGATGGCTGCCCTGCGGTCCAGGCTGATCACCACAGTAACGAAGGCTGAGGCGTACATGGCCACAAGTTTGAGGAACATGAGAAACCGGCAAGCCAGGTCACCGGCATACCACTGGACAGTGACATTCCATGCTGCATCCAAAGGCATGACCACAAAGGTCACCAGGAGATCGGCAGCCGCCAAGTTCATGAGGAGAATCCGGAGGTGAGGCCTACGCTGGTACTTCTGGGTGACAGTCCAGAGCACAGCAATGTTGAAGCAGGCGGAAGAGAAGAAGAGGACCACCGTTATGGCAACGCGGACTTTGGCTGCAGTAGAGAAAGTGGGCAGTTGGAAGACCTCCTCTCCCGGAACACTGCTGTTGGTGGTCCCCCCATTGGACAAGAGCTCCTCTAGGCCGTTGGGTTTCCATTGACTTTGGTTGGACGTGATGGGTAGCCCAGAACCCACCATCTTGCTGAGCTTCATCTGGGTGGTGGTGGTGGTGTTCATTGGGCCAGTGTCAAGCTTTCCCGAGACTGAGACGGTGTCCTGCCCCAAATAGATACACGGATCCTAGTTGGATGTGGGGTTCCCAATCGTGCTGGGCCCCTACCAGTTCCCAGGGAAGCCCTTCTCTTCCAAGACTGGGGCAGATCAGGCAGGTATAGGGCATGGTTCCCTTGTTCAGACAGAGCTTGAGCTACCCAACTCTGCTCCAAATCAAATGGTGGCAAGGTGTCCTTTCTGTTGGGCCAGCTGACCAGTTACACCTTGCTGCCAGGTGAGACCTCTCTTTGGGAGGTCCAGAATCCCTTGTCTTTGATCTTTGTATTTCCAGTCCCAAATACTCTATTAAATAGAAGAGATTTGTCTACTTAATGTAGTTCTAATGTTGTGGCCATGTCAGGAACACACAGTTCAGTCAGTGGCCAAGATGGTGCCTTTTCAAGGATTTCTCTGTGGTTTATCTGGCCAGCTTCCCTCCGGGGGAACAGTTCACAGCCCACACATTTCTTTTCTCTTCAGGGCAGTTTTAGTGCCTCTTAAAGCACTGAAGAAGGAGAGCGCAGCCCAAGGACCTGCAGCGGGGACAGAATACAGATCGGCTTAGTTCTCTTTGCCATTTCCACCACTACCACCCTGCTCCCTCCTTCCAGGGGTATTTTAACATGTTGTCTAAAAAATAGTATCTGGTGAATTTAACTTTTATGTTTGCAAATGCTGGGATTTTGACTTAAAACTTTAGGTCTTGAGGGACACATTTTAATCATCATCATCATCACTTGGGACAGTATCCAACAAATTGGGGGGGGGGTCGTTTAGAGAAAAGTAAGAGGTGGCACGCTGGAAGTGTATAAATTTATTTGTTTCATAAATTTCTTTACCAACCTTCGCTGGAGGATCACAGGGAGGTGTGCAATAGCAAAACACAAAAATATATAACATAGTAACAAAATCCTCCACTGCATGGAATCGAGAATGATTCTTCTGGTGCCTAAGTTATATAACAAAGGCACCAGGTGAGCCTTCCAGGGAACAGCATTCCACAAGCAGGGAGCCACTGCAGAAAAGGCCCGTCTTTGTGTTATCACCGTATGGACCTCGTGTGGATGAGTCAAACGAAGAAGGGCCTCAGATGATCAAAGCAGGGTCTGTGTCGGTTCATATGGGGAGAGGTGGTCCTTGAGGTATTGCGGTCCTGAGCCATTTAAGGCTTTATTAGGTTCAAAAGAGCACTTTGAATTGGGCCTGGAAACTAATTAGCAGCTAATGCAATCGGGCCAGGATCGGTGTAATATGCTCAAACGACAGAAGTTAGGCTGCCCCTCTCCAGGTAGGGGTACAGCTGGGCCACCAGCCGAAGCTGATGGAAGGCGCTCCATGCCACTGAGACCACCTGACCTCAAGCGACAGCAAAGGATTCAGAAGTACCCTCAAGCTGTGAACCTGCTTGTAACCCCATCAAAAGCAGGCAACCTCTCATCCATCTGGTCTAGGGAACTGCCCACTAACAGTGCCTCAGGCTTCTCTGGACTGAGCTTCATTTTGTTGGCTCTCATCCAGTCCAGCACTTCCACTGCCTCACCTGCAGATGTAAAGGAAAAGCAGAGCTGTGTGCCATCACCATATTTCTGACAGCATGCTTCAGAATTCCAAAAGACCCCACTCAGCAGTTTCAGGTAGATGTTAAACAGCATGGGGGATAGAATGGAACCCTAAGGAACCCCACATGGAAGGCTCCACTGGGCTAAAGAGCACCCCCCAAGCACCACCCTCGGGAAGTGGCCATCCAAGTAGGACCAAATCACTGCCACCTATCCCCAAATCAATCGCTTCAGAAGGGTACCATTGTCGACGGTATTGAAAGCTGCAGAGAGGTCAAGGAAAATTAACAGGGACATATTTCCCCATCTCTCTTCCGACAGATGGCATCGTACAAGGTGACCAAAGCAGTTCCTGTGCCAAAATGAGGCCTAATAAACCCCAACTGAAACAGATTTAGGAAATTGGTTTCCTCCCAGAGTGCCTGGACCTGCCATGGCATGGGATGGCGGAAGTGGATAGAGGAAAGTTGTGTGTCGCAGAACGCTAGAACTTGTGGACATCCCATGAAGCAGAACGCTGGAAGATTTGTGACAGGCAACAGAACACACTTCTTCATATGCAGTGCAATAGTTAAACTTTGGAACTCGCTGCCACAGGAGGCAGCAATTATTTTCTTACAAATTTTACATTTTTTATTTATTTATTAAATTTTATGCCACGTCAGACTGTCGGTCTGTCTACCTCAGCACTGCCTACTCTGACTGGCAGCATCTCACTTGGTTTTCAGTCGGGGAGATGGCATTGGGAATTGAACCCGGGACCCTATGCATGCAAAGCCTGAGGGAGAAGAAAGCCTGATGCCCTTGAGATCTGTTGCTAGGTTTCCTGGAAGGGTGCTTCCTTCCTACATTCAATAATCAGATACCTCTTTGTGTCTTCCCCAGTTCCTAAACTACCCATCCTGTTGAATGGAAAAATTAATAGACTCCCAATTAAAATGCAACGCCCATCCTTGAGGTTTTGTCGCAGACACTTCACCCTACCTGCCCACACTGGTGCTTATTTTTAGCTTAGCTGGTTTCTAGCTAGCCAGCCACTGATTTATTGAGTGCAGCCAGAGGAACAATGGAGAGAAGCCTGAGATAAGAGGAACAAGACGGGCCCTGAGCTATTTCCAGCAGCTCCCAGTGGGTAGCCAAGCATGCAAAGGGGATACCTCTTTTCCTTTCCACCTGCCTCCTCCTTTGCCAGGGATGTTTCCTGAGAAGAGTTCCAGTGGCTGCGAATCCTCATCAAATGCTGGGCTGAAATGAGCAGGTGTTACAGGAATTCTAAGGTCTTATATATATATAAAATAAATGTACAAGGCAAACACGTAAGTATATAAACCACGTGTCTGAAATAGTGCAGGAGAACAATCCTGAAGCCATTTTGACTCTCCCAAATTGACCTCAAATATTTCTCTGCAAGGTGGAAAGAAATGGGAAAAGCTTTCCAATTGTCTTTGGACTGTAGGGGCTTACAACTCCCTGTAAATACAGTCTGGCAAGTATCTGTTAAGCTGAGCACACTATCGATATGCGTAATACCATGGCCATCAGATAAGGAATTATTTGGTATCCTGGCAGACAGGAGAGAAGCAACACACTCAAATTTCTACTGAGGACCACCTCTTTCTGTGATGTATGTATGATGTTTTGGGAGGCAGTCTTGATCTACAGGGTAGGCAATTTCAAAAGTCTATATAAGAGCTTGCACACCAATGTTTGGGGTTCCTCCTCCCTCCTGTGTGTGGTGAGTGGGGACCCTGTTGCAACAGTTTAATAAAGATCATGCTTACTAGCTGCTTTGCTGATCAATATTCTCTGGCTGGCCTCTGTTATTTTCTCGTACCGATAGAAAACCTACATAAGGATTCTATACGGGCTCTTGGATACCCATAAGGGATAAAGGAGCAGTTTTTTCTTATAACAAAGGGAAGCGGGAAACCCTGCAAGAGGAGACAGACACACCCTCCTAAATGCAGACATAGCTATGTTGCTCTGCTCACTTCAGCCTCAAAGAAAAAAAAGAGACTGAGAGATGGAACAGGTCCAGAAAAGGAAAACCAATATTATCAAGGGGATAGAGAGAGACTCCTCAATGAAGAAAGGTTGCGGTTGTCTGAGACTTCTTAGTTTAGAGGAAATGGCATAGAGAAAGCGAAGAGAGATTTCCCCCCGCTCTCATAACACTAGATCTGAAAGGAAAGTCCTCCATGTGGCACATCGTTAAACTATGGAACTCCCTCCCACAGGATCCAGTAGCGGTCACCAGCTTGGATGTCTTTAAAAGAGGATGGGGACAGATTCATGGAGAACAAGGCTATCGATGGCTACTAGCTCTGATGGCTATGCTTTGCTGCCACGGTTGGAGGCCGTAACGCTTCTGGGTACTGGTTCCTGGAAACCACAGGGAGAGAGAGCTGTGCTCCAGTGCTCAGGTCCTGCTTCAGCCTTCCCCAGGGGTCTGGATGGCCACTGCGAGAACAGGATGCTGGACTAGATGGGCCTCTTGTGAGTGCCTTGCAATCGCATTCATTGTTTCTCATAAAGCTTGGTTTCCGGGCCCTTGATCATCCTGGTCACTCTCCAACTTGTCCATATCCTCCTTGAACTGTGGTGCCCACAGCTGGACTCGGGGTTCCATGCAGGGTTTGACCAAGGCAGAACAGAGTAGCACGATGACTTCCCTTGATCTGGATGCTGTTTTCCTGTTGATGCAGCCTAGAATGGCATTAGCTTGTTTTGCTGCTGCATCACAATGTTGACGCATGTTAAGCTTGTGGTCTACTAAGACCTTTTAATGTGTTCTGCTGTACAGCCAGGGGTTCCCCATCCTCTATTTGTGCATCTGGTTCTTCCTGCCTATGTGTAGAACCTTACGTTTGTCCCTCACATCTCCAGGTAGGAAGGACCGCTGTCTGAGACTCTGGAAGCTGCTGCCAGTCAGTGTCAGGCATACTGAGGTGGATGGACCAAGAGTCTGACTCAGTTTAAGGCAGGTTTTATTGGAGGCGAATTTTCCCTGGCGGCAGATGACAGAACCACAAGACTGATGTAAAACACTCAGACAAGAGTTTTATTTCGGCCATACAAACACAAAACTTGTGGGTGTTCTCTTTCTGCAGGCAGTTGCAAGCTGCAACTTCTCTCTTTATACACATCATCAGCTGTGCCTAATTAGCCTGGATAACCACACCCAGAACTCATAGAAAATGTCCTTAAAGTTATCTGCACCCTTTTCCTGTTTTGTGACGAATGATACATAACAGGTTTCTATATTCCTAATAGCCCCAAAGGGGTGGTGCTGGTATGAAAAGATAATAGCTTGAACTTCCCAACACAACTTTCAGGCTCTCCTTGACTGCAGAGTATCCATTCTCTGTACCCAAACCATCTGATTTTTTTACTCCCCAACCTGCCCCCCCTTTTTTTTGTTTAATAGCTAACCTGACGAAGAATGCAGCTGCAGCGCTCAAAGGCCTGAACGTTACTTGGTCCCTTAATTATGTTTAGGGATGGTGGGGAATTGGGTTGGTTTCACATTTTAGTATGACCCTACCTGATTTGCACTTTCCAGAACAATGTGCGAATCCAGAACTCTGCTACCTTTCAACACTTCACATTTCCTAATTCTGCAATGTGGGTTTTTCAGCCAAAAAATGTGGATATTAGGGCAATGCGTACTTATGGTGAAGAGCAGGTCATGAATTTTAATAGTGGTGGCAGTAATACTAGTGGAAATAGCATTATAATAATAGAAATTGCTTGCAAAAATGTTAAGAGAATTGTGCAACAAAAGCTGAGAGTAATTGAAATCCACAGATCTGGCCACCCTTAGTTCTGCTGTGCTCCTGTTGTTTTGATATGAATTGCAACAAGCATCCACCAATGTACATAATAATAATATAATAATAATAATAATAATAAATTTTATTTATATCCCGCCCTCCCCAGCCGAAGCCGGGCTCAGGGCGGCTAACAACAATAAAACAGTACAAAAGTACAGCACAAACAACACTCTAAAACCATTCATTATAAAATTAATTAATTAATTTATACATGGCACAGGGCTGTCCATTTTTTCACCCCCTCTAGGTAATGAAAAAGCTGAGTCAGCCCAAGCTCCCATGCCCACTAAAGGCCACCAGCCTTCAAAACTGTGGTGCCTCGGACCATCACCAAAGCATGTGCAGAGTGCAGAATGTATTTCCACCTAGAAACAGGACCTAAGGGCAAAGTGCCTCTGAGCATGTGCAGAGAACTTGTTCTCTATTCAGGGAACCAGCTTTCTGGAATCTTTTCATCACAACGTCAGGATTCATTGTGATCTGTGGAGCGGAAAATGGGCAGTTTTGAGCTGGGCAAGCAGTTGCACCCTTGATTCTCAGACCACAATCTGATTTTTATGGGTGAAGAACTTGGAAGACCTCAGGGGCGGGGGACCCTTCAGTTAGGGATTCTTTAACTGTGATTCCTGCATTGCAGGGGGTTGGACTAGATGCCTCTTGTAGCCCCTTCCAGCTCTACGAGTCTCTGACCCAGGAGTGCCAAAAAGGTGGCAGGCAAGGGGCATTCCTTTGTGACAACAACCAAAACTATGTGAGGGAACCCTTTTCACCAGTGCTTCGTACATCCGGTTGGAGCACTCACACTGAACTGAAAAAAATGGGGGAGATGGGCCGTGGGACCCTGAACCCTCCCGGCAGTTGGGGTGCTCAAGAATCGCCCCAAGGCCCAGAAAAGCCATGCGCACCATATGACCCATGCAGAGCCCTCCATGTGCGAGGTTTTCGAACCCAATGCGATCCACACGTGACCCACCAACATCCCTCCTGCCCATCTTTGAGCCATTTCCCCGGAAGGCCACCAGCGGGTCCGGCTATGCTCCCCCACCCCAATCTATTTCCCTAGTGGGGTGCCCACAGCCACTGTCCCCGCCATCCCCATGGCTTTCTTCCAGATGGGACACTCGGCCTTACTCACCATCCTTTTGCTCTGCTCCTTCCGCAGTTCCATGGGCTGCTGTTGCTGCAGAGAAATGGGGAGGGGGGAGGAGAAGAGGAGGAGGAGGGAACCCTTCCAAGAACAAGGCAGGGGGGCTGCTGAGTTCCTCTCTATCCCCTTAGTTCCTCTGATGCCAGAGGTTTGCTTTGGGGGCTGCGTCGTGCGCCCGGTGCCATCGCGGGATAGCAAGTGGCCGTGGTGGATTTCCAATGTTACAGCCTTGGTGGAGGTCACTGCAGAAGCAATGCTGCTTCCTTCAGTGTCCTCCTCTCTCTCTCCCCCTCTCCTCCCTCCTTCCCTCCCATCTCCACCTTTTCTATTTAAAGGTGCCACTTTCTTTTCTTTTCTTTTCTCTGTCCCTCTCTAGCAACCCAGACACAGCACAGATGGCCAGGAACCCAAGGGGGGGCCCTTTTCTCCCAGCCTCTTCAGTCTGTTCCCACTGGGTACCAGATGCCAGCTGATCACTTTAGGACACAGTGCAGAGAAAACTCTCTGCTTTGCAAAGGGCCTCTTAGGCTTCTCCAGCACGTTGTTTAAAAGCGAGAATTTGTTGCAGACAATGGCCAGCTTCTAACTTTCTTCGGCATCCTGGGAACCGCTGAGCGACACCAAGGAAGCGCAGCGGGCAAAGGTCGTGAGCTGCGGGTCAGGGCTGACGTGACAGCTTGCATCTCATGGCAAATTCATTAAAGGCCGTCTTAGACGCTGGAGCAGTTGGCTTATTTTCAACCCTGAACTTGCTGGTCTCACATGGCGCCCCCTTTGGGCAGCCATGAGTATTGCTTCCATTGTGAAGCACTCGCTTCTATGTACAATATGGAGGTGCCGCAGCAGCAGCTGATCCTAAACCTCTGCTGCTTTGCGGTACATATTCAGGAAAAGAAAAGGCTTAAGGTGTAAAGCCTACACAAATCCAGAGCAGAATCCCTAAGGATGGTGTCCTGTACTCCTCCTTCCGGAGACTCTTGGTGCCAAACGTATACAGTGGTACCTCGGGTTACAGACGCTTCAGGTTACATGCGCTTCAGGTTACAGACTCCGCTAACCCAGAAATAGTACCTCGGGTTAAGAACTTTGCTTCAGGATGGGAACAGAAATCGAGTGGCGGCGTGGTAGCAGGAGGCCCCATTAGCTAAAGTGGTGTCTCAGGTTAAGAACAGTTTCAGGTTAAGAACAGACCTCCAGAACGAATTTAGTTCTTAACCTGAGGTACCACTGTATTGCTCTGCTTTCCTTTGGACCACATCAGCCAGGCCGAGACAGGGATGGTGGTCTTGTCATCTGGGCAGGGGCGTCTTACCCATAGAGGCTCATGGTGCAGGGCGCCAAGTTCTGGAGGGCGCCAGGGAGAGGCTGGAAGCGGCGCCTCCCAGCACCAGCAGCCCAGAGCCTCCGTCTGCCGTGGCCACCGTGGCACAAAGCGGTCAGCTGAGCCAGGAGGTGTCGCATCCAGCTTCCGCCTCTTCCCCGCCAGAGGAGCCGCCCTCCAGCCTCTGCCCACCTCCTCCAGCCCCACCAGCAGCACCGTCCTCCCTAAAAAGCTCTGGGAAATGGGGGGGGGCTGGAGGGAACTTTGCACCATGGCACTGGATATGCTTAAGACGGCCCTGCATCTGGGCAGTCCAAAACCTCCATGCACACTGCCCAGGCTTGTGCAGGGAGGTTAGGTAAAGGGACCCCTGACCATTAGGTCCAGTCGTGGCCGACTCGGGGGTTGCGGCGCTCATCTTGCTTTATTGGCTGAGGGAGCTGGCGTACAGCTTCCAGGTCATGTGGCCAGCATAACTAAGCCACTTCTGGTGAACCAGAGCAGCGCACGGAAATGCTGTTTACCTTCCCGTTGCAGCAGTACCTATTTATCTACTCGCACTGGTGAGCTTTCGAACTGCTAGGTTGGCAGGAGCTGGGACCGAGCAACGGGAGCTCACCCCGTCATGGGGATTCGAACCGCCGACCTTCTGATCGGCAAGTCCTAGGCTCTGTGGTTTAACCCACAGTGCCACCCATGTCCGGTGCAGGGAGGTTACTTTAGTGCTAACACACTGGCTTGACTTCACCCCAGGAGGCAAACTCCATTGTCTCTTGAGACCAACAGATGCCAGCAACAACAACAAGGATAGTTTGCCAGCCATGTGTGCATTTTATACGTCCTTAAATCACAGCACCATCAGGCCCTCGGGGATAAAAAACACACTTGCTTCTATTGCCCTGGCACTTAGAACACATTTGTTTGGGAATAACCGGCCCCATTTTGTTGTAGAAAAGGTTAATAGGTATTTTGGAAAGTCAAACTGATGAAATGAGCCTCTGTAACCATGCATGTGCCTGGCTGGTTGCCCCTTGTTTATTTATTTTTTATTAGTGTCACAGAAGGTCAGTCTAGATGGTTCCTAGGGGTCCCTTCCAAACCTGCAACCATATGAGCCAACCCCTAGGGGCTGAGGTCCCTATAAAATAAAATATTTGAAACCCCACCACCACCAGTTAATGAGCATTGCCATTCCAGTTGTGTGTGTACAACATCTTATTATTGATTGTGTGGGGCAGAGCTTACCTGCCCCCGTCCCATATTTTATTCAAGTTGGCACCCCTGCCTGCAATCCTGTATCCAGTGAGGTTTAGGCACTAGAGGAAGAGACAGGTCAGACAAGTTCTTTTGTTAAGGCAATGGCCTTAAGCCAAGCAGTTAAGTATGTCCATTTGCAAGTCCAGCGAGGCTGCCATAGAGACAAATGGGTGAAACTTTCCCCACCTCCCCTGGTTGGATGCTTGGGCATCATAGGATGGAGAACAACAGACCAAGCGGAACTGAGTTGGGTGTGTTTGGGTGATGTTACAAGCAGTGGTGGGGGCCCGAGGGCCACATTTAGCCTCCTGGTGCTCTCTATCTGGCCCCCAGAATTCTCTCCAGGCCATACATGCCTAATCATTGAGCAGCTGATTGTTACAGAATACAAGAAACAGCAGCAGGAACACTTAGCCACCAGGGGGCACTGCTGTATTTCAGATACACCCGCACACACACACCTGGGCCGATCATTTCTCTCCATGAGGACTAGTTTGTTTGTTTTCCCTGTTGGTTAACACTATCACAAAATAATACAAATACAAAAACTTGATATGAGCTCTCTGAGCTGCTGATTTGGAATCTACTGTTCATGGCAAGACTGAGTGTAACTAAGAATTGTTAGTAATAGGGTATGGTAATAAGGTAATTGGCACTTGCTGAGTAGCTCACTGATAAACTTAGAATGGCACAAGTTATAAAACGAAAGGAATCCTTTGCAGCAGAGTGGCCTATCATCATTATGCATATATTGAAGAGCAACTATAAAGTTGATTTATTATTTGAGTTATCCTTTCCAGACCTCTGGAATCTAGTTGTGCAAATCTACTATTCTGGTATGTGCCAGAGTCTGGAGGCCTCGTGGATTTTTCATCCGATACTTTTAGGAATACTATGTTGTGAGATTCTTAATGCATCCGTGTGCCCGGCCCTGGGTACATGGGGCGTTGCTGGTGGAAGGCCACTGTCCACACAGAGAAAGCAAGTTTGAAGCGATTGTACTAGGTGTCCATGGTTACAGCAAGATTCTTTTCCTGTGGCACTTTACTGATACGCCGAAAAAAGCATCTTGATATGGCCAAAGATACCATCCTATCAAGATTGCTGCAAGGGGAGGGGTTGGCACTGTGTGCTGCTCCTCAGTGTAGACGTCTGCATTCAGTAACACAAGGTGGGGAGATGCTGCAACTTCTTCTACTGCTTTCTTGATTGCATTTAAATCCCACCTTTTTCTTCGTGGAGCTCAGGTACATGGTACTGTACATGGTCCTCTCCCTCCTCATTCAATCCCTACAACCAGGGCCGTCTTACCCATAGGAGCCAGGGGTGCAGAGCACCTGGGCGCTGGGCTCTCAGGGGCGCCAGGCCAAGAGTCCAGGGCCCAAGAGTTGAGTCCGGGGAAGAGCCCACCCATCGGTTGGAGCGCCGCAGTGGGCTCTTCTGCGCTGCAAGCTCTGCCCTCCTGCGCGCCTGGGACTGAGCAACCTGGGGGGGGGTGCCAGGCAGATCTTTGTACCCCAGCGCCGCATATGTTTAAGACAGCCCTGCCTACAACAACCCTGTGAGGCAGGTTAGGCTGAGAGGCAGTGACTGGCCTTCAAGGTCACCCAGCAAACTTATTGGCTGAGTGTGGATTTGAACCCTGGTCTCCCAGGTCCTAGTCCGACACCCTAACCACTACTCCACACTGGTTCTCCAGAAGAGAAGTGAAAAGGGGCAGCTACTAGCCACAATGGCTGTGCTCTGCCTCCACAATACCAGCTTCTGGAAACCACAGGAGCAGAGGGTGCTCTTGTACTTGAAAAGGTGCTATATTAGATGATCCATTGGCCTAACTCACCAGGCTCTTCTTATGGTCTTAAGCAGTACATTTCCCAGTTCCAGAATTCATTCCATAAATTCTTCTAGTTAGACCGTAATCCAGGAGGAGCAAAACACATCAAAGGAATGGAATGGGGAGGAGGAAAGAAATTCTATCACCCACATGCATTTTCCAAGCCTTATTTCCGAGATCTTTTTAAACTTAAGAAGTTGGAGTGGATGGAACCTGGGGTTTTCTGCATACCAACGGGGTGCTCCAACACTAATTAACCTACTCTAATTGAATGCACCAGCAGTGTTGATGCCTCCTTTATAGTGCACCTCTTATTCTTATACCCTGAAACAGGAAAATGGGAAAGCTTAAAAAATAGATTCAGATATTTACTTGATGTACTTTCCTAAGTATATCACTTAAACAGAGGTATTTATTATGGACCTGCCCCATAATAAACTTGAATTTGACTTGCTGAAACAAAATGTTGTTTTCCTTTTTATATAGTTTATACTATAATGCATCTTATTCTCTTCTATGCTAAAAAAACAACAGCATTTTTTGTTTTTTTAAAAAAATATACTTGTAAGGAGCTGTAAGTTCAGCCTCTTGGCCCTGTGCTGGAAAAGAGGAATCCACAGGAAATATTTGCCTTGCCTCAACCTTTTTTCAAAAGCCACTTCCCACCCAGAGTCACTGTGTCTTAAAGTATCACTTTTCAAACATATTCCTCCACATTGGGGGGGGGAGGTCTCTGCCCATGCTCAAAAGTCATTTGCTCTTGAAACAAAAACTTTGCCTGTGCATCACTCTGCACGTGCTCAGAGGCATGCATGCTCAGAAAAGTATGAAAGTGACTGTTTGGCAGGCTTAGGCGGAAACCTGGTGCGATTTCTCCTCATTTCCTTTGAGGCAGCAGAAGACAGGCTCGTCCTTGCTCTCAACTTCCCTGCTTAGCAGTGCCAGCCTGCCTCTTGCTTAGCTCTCCACCCACGGCCATTTCTCCTTCTGTGCCGTCAGCTACCGACCAGCTTGGCTTCACAACACTCCTGTGCGCATTTCCCCTCCAAAGCGCCCTGCTTGTTCCGAACAGCTGTTTAAAATGTCACTGTCTGTCCTCCTGCCTTTATTGACACAGTCTGCCTGAGCTTTGCAACCGTGATATTCCGCTGCTCCCTGGCTTGTGGATCTGGACCAAGAGGAACCAGGTGGGGTTTTTTTTTTTTTGCAGAATGGATCCAGATCAAGTGGGCAGTTTCACCCACTAAGAAAACTAGCCAGGGACGTTACTACAGATTCATCCCCCTAGAGGCTTCTTAACTGGAGAAAAAGCCTTTGGGTCTTAATCCTGGAATGATCAGTCTCTCTCTGAGCATGTGAAGAGTGCTTTCTGCTCATTGGGTAAACTGCAACAATCCTGTGTGTGTTCTGGGAAGGACTCTTGGGACAGAGGGATATTGCTGGCCGTTGACTTGAGAGTTCGGGCATCCATCATTTTATAACGAAGAAGTAGTGAAATTACGGTAATCTCCCAGGAATGCCAGAATGCCGGAACCAAGGAATCACAGCTAGGTGGGGTAGGAGTCAGCCTCCCAATGCTTTTGACCTGAACAGGAGCTAAGAGGAAGGATGAAGCAACACTTTATGTCTCTTCCATCTCTATTGACCCTTTGACCCTACATTGGAAGGATAATTCGGGTTTTACATTTGTGACCTCAGCCTTTAAGCGGGATGGCCAGGATATGTTCTTTAGAGGTGTGTATCTTGGACTTGCAGGTCTTGTTTTCTTGCTCATTCAAAATGTTTCCTGTTACTTTTATTTTTCAAGACTGCTCAGTGGGAAAAAGTGACAAATAAATATGATATTAATATTAGAAAGAAAGAAATGATAAAAGTACAAGCTGGCTATTGAATATTTTTGACTATCCTAGCTCCTGAGTCAGTATTTTCGCCCCTTGTTGTTTGAGATGCTAGGATGAGGGTGGCAGAGAGGCGGCTTAAATATGTTATGAACTTGCAGAACTCTAGACAGCATATACTGAATTTGCTTGGGACTGACACTGAGGCTGCACAAATCTAAAGGAAACATCAACCCTTAGACTCCAGCACTGTCTCTCCTCCAGGTGAAAACAGGCCCTATAAGAGAATATGAAAAACTCTGAGCTGCATTTAAGGCAAGAGGCATGGAGCACATTGTTGGCTACTTACAAACACGGGCACACAAATAAGCAAACAAACACAGTAGTTCTTTTGTTCAGTATTATGTGTACATTATTTTATATCTATCTATCTCTATTGGTCCATACAGGACTTTATAGCACAGAAAAGCTTTAACGGTTGGCATTCACCACCCAACAAGTTGTGCGTTTGGCCACAAGGGGCGACATTGTGCTTGTACCACGATTGGAAGAGAAAGACGAGTGCAAAGGCAATTGAACGAAATTCAGGGGGGAAACCTGTGATTTGCTATTAAGGAAACAACGTCAGTTTAGAGCATGGAGGGCTGCCTATCGGACAGAGGACATTATTGGGACTGGGAGAAGAAAGCATGTGGGGCGACGGAGGGGGGGGGGGGCGGATTCACAGCAGGAAATATACCCTGGATACCGACGCCCTTCTCCACAGCTCAGAATACTGAAATTCAAAAAACTTGGTGGCTGGAATTGACGGTAGGCAGGAAAGTGGGTGGTCCATCTTCCCTCACCGGCAGCACAGCTGCTGCTATTGGCTGAGCTTCTCTGCTGTCATGGAATGTTCATAAACATTCCAGCGCAGCAGGCCAGACAGTGCTCTGCCCCAGTTACCAGGGCGGAAGTGGAAGAGGATTGCGGAAGCAGGGTTTGGGGGGGGGAACCCAGTTTTTGCAAGGGGAGGTTAATGTGGGGCCCTGGCATGTCCTTCTCAAAGAGTCCCTCCAGCAAAATTAAGTGCTCACTGCTGTGAGAGAAGGAAGAGGTTATTCTGGCTGGCTGGTCTTGAGCTGGGACAGTCTTGGGAAGAAAGGAAGGCAGGCAAGGGAAATGGAGAGGCTGGGATCCAATTGGAAGAGGAGTAGAGGGGGGGATGGACATCCCCACCTGAACTGACTTTTATCGCTGGAAAAAAACCACAGGCCACCTGAACAACCAACAACTCAGCAACACAGGGTGTGCCGTACGACCGGGAGCAAAAGTGCGAGGAAGAGGGAACACTGCACAGGTGCTCCTTCAGGAGAGCTGAGAGTGTGCTTGGATTGGGACTCAGGCCTTGAGTGGTGGGGGTCCCACCTTCCTGAAGCCCCCCTGTGCCTGCTGAGAGAGTGGGGGTGTCATTTCAGCACCCCCCGGAACAGCGCTTAAGGATGGAAGGGGCTGAGTTCAAGTGTTACTCCGAAGTACTATTGCTTTGTCGACACTACTAAACCGCAGGAAGGAACAAGAGAATACATTCGTTGTTGCCGGCAGCCCTGGCGGCTTTGCCAAGGCCTCCCTCCCTCAGTTATCAAAGTCATTTTACAGACGTGGGTCGGTATCGGGAGCCCCATTTGGCAGGAAACTGAGGCACACGGAAAGCTGGGAGAGGCAGGAGAGCCTCTCCTCGACTGCCCAAATGAGTGCAGCGTCAAGGCCCGCACTTGGTCTGCACCAGACATTTCAATCCGTTTCAAACTGGACCGACAGCCATGGAATCAATGTTTCTTGCGGGGAGGTTGCTGGGCGCCCTCTTTTGGCCCAGAGGACATGCAAACTGAGTGCCAAGAGGCAAGAGGGTTGAACCACTGCGTTGAAGGCTCAGGCCCTATAGAGCTGGCCAGGCCTTGGGGAGCTTAGGTAACGGTAAAGGGACCCCTGACCATTAGGTCTAGTTGCAGACGACTCTGGGGTTGCGGTGCTCATCTCGCTTTATTGGCCGAGGGAGCTGGCGTACAGCTTCCGGGTCATGTGGCCAGCATGACTAAGCCACTTCTGGAGAACCAGAGCAGCGCACAGAAACGCTGTTGACCTTCCCACCGGAGCAGTACCTTTTTATCTACTTGCACTTTTTGACATGCTTTCGAACTGCTAGGTTGGCAGGAGCAGGGACCGAGCAACGGGAGCTCACCCCACCACAGGGATTCGAACCGCCAACCTTCTGATCAGCAAGTCCTAGGTTCTGTGGTTTAACCCACAGCGCCGCCCGCGCTTATATTGCGTCAAAGATGTGTCTGGGTTCCCTGATGCAGGGTGGGTTACAGCTGACAGGCTGCATGGGGGGGGCGGCAGGAATCCCAAAATTACACCTATTGGCCAGATAAATCCTGTTACCATCCCTGAGTCCTGGCAAGGAACGGAAGAGGTGCCCAAAAAAGTGGTTAGCAACCAGGTACTCCCAACAGTAACATGCCATTGTTCTGGGAGCTGATGGAGGAAATAGATACACCTCCTTGTAAGGAAGAGCGAAGAGTGTCTCTGAGTTTAATTCAAGGGCAGGGGGAGGGAGATATCCTGTGCCTCAGGCATCAAATATTTTTGGGGAGTTTTGCCCTACTACAGCCTTTGCCAACATATTTTTTTGGTCCCCATATGCTCTAGACTACAACTTCCAGGTTGAAACCAAGTTGGCAAAGGCTGCCTTGGCATTTTTTGGGTGCTTCAGCATTCTGTGGGGCTGGGGGATAATGCCAGTTTAAAGGGGCTTGGGTTGGGTTTGGCATATACCCCAGCTGCAGCAAACTAATTTGAACTTTTCAGGAAAGTCACACCCCACCTCCAAAAGAACCCAGGTGGGCTGTGATCCCTATGAAGAGATCCTGGCAACCCATTGCCCATGCCACCCACTCCAGGAGGTGACAAAGAGAACATGTGCCCCCTCGGTTTTCAGCTTTCCAGGTCTAAAAACCAGATGTGCGTAGATTCGCCTCCCTGAAATTGGGCATACAACTTCCCATAACCCACCCAGCCAACGTAAAGTGTCAGCAAGAGAACTGAAATCTCCCCCCACCCAAAATTAAAAAAAAATTCAAAAGAATATAGATGAAGGTGACCCAGGGAAAAGCATCTGGGGGCTTAAAGTCCTCTTTCCTACTGGGGTGGGTCTGTGCTTGCTGAGGACGGGACCCTCAAAGCAGACATCGATCCACAAAACGTATGTTTTCCAAATGCGAATTCACCCTCTAGATTTCATCTCAGAGATGTTGTTGGGGTTTTACCCCATGGAGTCACAATGCCAAGCATCAGACTCCATTGCTTTGCCTTTTTTGCAGTTCCCAGGCCTCGTCTGTAGGGGCAGGAAGCGAAGGATGCCAACAGTCTCCTGCAGGCCTGATGAAGATTTTGGTGGGTCAGTCAAGGAAGCCAACACCCGACTCAACCTTCCCACTCCAAAGAATTTCATCGCAAGCAGATGGGCAAAACTTCCTGGGTCGCTTACTTGCCATCAGCGACTTCACTCTAAAGACCCCTCCCTTTCACTCTGGCCTCGTGGTGCCAGCTCTGACGTCATGCTTCGTATGTCCAGTTTATAAAGATGGCGGCTACGACATGGAACACCGAAATGAGAGGAAGGAGGAAGACGCAGAAACCCAGCTATGAAGACAGGGTGGGCTCAGAGGCCGGCGAGGAAAGCAGGAAAACGGCATTGTGGAAGGCCCTCCGAGTCCCCATGAGGCAAAGACGAGAAGACTGTAGATTGCCCTGTTCCCATTCCGCCATGTTTTAACTGGCCACCGAGTCCCCTTGGGCGATCAGGCTCTGAAAACTGACCAGCTGCTTCATCTGCTCCGTCTGCATGGAGTGCCTCCGGAGTAGCCTCTTGCCTTTGGGAGAAGTGGGGGCCACCGGGATCAGGCCCTTGTGGGCTGGGGAGGAGGGCTTGCCATTGCCCCGGATGTCGCGGAGGGGAGGGTGGGGGTTGAGGTGGAGTGGGGGCAGGAAGCCCGGCCGGCTGTGAGCAATGTGGTCCAGCAGCAGCGTCCCAGAGCCCCTCCTCTCGAGGAGACCCGGGGCCCGGCGTCGTATCGTGATGGGGGAGACAGCGTTGGGGATGCTTTCCAAACTCTCTCGGGACGAGCTGGCCGGCAGGGTCAACGGGGAGGCGTTGTACTTCCTCCTCTCCACAGAAACGCGGCCCGAATCTGGGGAGCCGGGGATGGACTCGGGGCAGAGGGAATCCAACTCGTAGTGGTCCAAGCAATTCAGCTTGGGGTGGACCAGAGCCCGGGAGCCAGGACTCGGGCCGCCGTCTTGGGTTTCGGGCGCCGTGTTGCGCCGGGCGAGAGTCTGGTGCAGGTGGCTGAAATGGACTTTCTCTGCCCACGCGGCTTCCAGGCTGTGCAGCTCTTCCCCTGAGGCCTGGTGAGCGGCCATTTTGAGGCAGGACGACTCCTGGCCTTCCATGCTGTGTCTCCGGGACAACGGAGGCCTCTTGGAGAAGCTCAGGCCATTCATCTCAGCCGTCATCCTCTCTTCCGGGGTCCGGGCCTTTTCCTGGTGGGAGGCAGCTAGGACAGAGGGCGCCACCAGGCCCCACGGCTCCGAGTTCAACCTCTTCAGCTGCTTCGGCCGGCCTTTGGGCGGGAGGGCTGGGGCCTTCTCCTCAGCCTCCTTCCCCTTGCCGTGCGGGAGAGGGGAGCAGCTGAGCCGGGTGGCCATGGTGAAGTTGAAAACGTCACGCTCCTCTTCCTTCTCGCTGCCGCCAGGGGACTGGGAGGTCCTCACCTCGATGTCTGAGGGGGACATGCACAGAGCGGGCGAACGGCTGTCCTCCACACCTGGCGACGGCGGCGAGTTCAGGTACTGCTTGGTTTTCTTGGTCCCTGAGGGGGACGTGTCTGTGGTGATGATGATGACCTCCTTCCCTTTGGCCTTGCAAGCGTCCAGGAGCACCTGCAAGGTCCCCCGGTCCCCCTTGTTGATGGCATACACCAAAGCCGACGCCCCAGAGTAATCCTTGGCGCTGGGCTCTGCCCCGTGCGCCAACAAAATGGAAGCCACCTCAGCCCCAGCCCCGTCGGCGCAGGCATGCATCAGGGCGGACTTCCCCATCTTGTCAGGGATGTTGGGGTCAGCCCCGTTCTCCAGGAGGTACCTCACCATGCGGGACTTGTTCTGAGGGTCCTCGTAGGGGGCCACGCAGGCCGCAATGAGGGGGGTTTCCCCCTGGATGTTGCCCTCATTGATGTAGGCCCCACCCTCTAGCAGCAGGCGGGTGAGGCGGAACTTGCCCTGCCAAACGGCCTTCAGCAGGGCACTCCCCTCAGGGTGGACCATGGCAGTGGCAGGCGGTTCCGCAGGCATTGGGCAGAGGCAAGGAGTTCACGAGATGGAGGAGGACATCTCAGGGCACGCCATGACCTGGAATGGGAGACAAAGCGAGGGAAACCAGAGCGTGAGGACTGCTCTATTGTGGAGCAATGTTGTGGGTTTCTGAAGGTCTGTCCAAAAGCAATCCCTCCAACATTTCTCTGATGAAATAAAGGGCTTCCTATTCAATAATAATAATACAGTGGTACCCCAGTTTTTGAGCGTCTCGGAAACCGAACATTTCGGTTTTCAAATGCCGAAAACCCAGAAGTACCTAAATGTTTCCGTTTTCGAACGTGCCTCAGAAGTCGAATGGCTTCCGTTACGTGTTTTTCAATTTTCTCCACTGATTTTGCTGACCGCCCTTTGCACCTCGGTTGTGAAACGTTTCGGAAGTCGAATGGTCTTCCGGAACAGATTACGTTCAACAACTGTGGTACCACTGTAATAATATTTATACCCTGCCCATCTGACTGGGTTGCCCCGGCCACCAACATATATAAAAACATACTGAAACATTGCAAAACGTCCCTATACAGAGCTTCCTTCAGACGTCTTCTAAAGGTTGCATCGTTACTTATCTCCTTGGTTCGGGGGTCGCATGACTTCATACTGTCCAACATTTCTCCGATGGAAATAGGAATGTCCTAAGGAAAAGCGGGTCATTCTGGGATCAAATCGGAAACCAGAATGGCTGCTGTAAATCCTGGACTGTCCCCTGAAAAATAGGGGCACTTGGAGGGTCTGCAAAAAAAAGTAATCAGGGGAGGAGGAGGAGCATGAATAGACCCAGGGAAAGGAAGAGGTGTGCCCTGAAAAAAAATAGCAGCATTAGGGAAGAGTAGGGATAGGAAATGAGGGGTGTGGTTCAGGAACGGAAAGAGAGAAGTTAGACCTGAGCAGGGGGCCGTGTTCCTGACAATTAGGGACAGCTTTCCCAGGATCTGAATTTGCTGGATCAAAGCACAGCACTTTGCAAGCTCCTTCGACAACCTTGCTAGCATCCCCTCTGCTCCTTTTGCAAGCTTCTGTCAGTTGAAATTAAAAGAAGCTTTCTTGGGGTCTGAATTTGCTGGGTCAAACCTCAGCACTTTGCAAGCCTCTCTGCCCCTCTGACAACCTCGCAAGAGACCACTCCCTGCTCATTTGCAAGTTTCTGTCAGGGGAACTCTGGCAATTCCATGCACGTTTAGGCAGCTCAGGCGTTAAACCTTGCAAGGAGACAGCTTGAGGCCTTAAGGTCCAAGGCAAGTTCAGCAGCCCTTTTGGATGCTTCCCAGCATCTCTGTGACTTTTCTAGAGGTGGCCAGCGGTAAGCCGAGTGGGGGAAGGACCTCCTGTCTCTTAGGCTGGCTGTGCCAGTTTTGCTGCCCCCGCTGAGGCGCGGCCCCTGCCAGCGCTGGCAGGAGGAGCGTTCACTCCACATGCTGTTAAAGACACAGACGGGCACAATTGGCCGGTCCTTCCAGGCACAGCATCCAAAACAGCCTGCTGTGACTCAGAAACCCTTCCGCAGGAGCCAGAAGGGAAAAGGGTAATTAATTCTCATTCTTGAGATTTGCTGCCCATGCCTTTAAACGCTAGGGAACTCAGGGCAGCTTTTGCAAAGGTTAGTTGACTTTGCGGGAAGCGTCACTTGGACAGGGTCTTTTTTCCCTTGCGCAAACCAGGTTATTTGTGTGAGCTGTATTAGGTTCTTCCTGAAGGCAACTTTTGCCCTCGGATCCACGCTCGACCCTCTAGTTTTCTGCTGGCTTTGTTGATTTATTGACTGATTAATGAATCTATACATCCCTCAATATGCCATGTTCTCTAAGCCAGCCTTTGTCAACATGGCCCCCTCCAGCTGTTTGGGACGAAACACAGCCATCACAGATAATATACCTTTCTGTGAATTTGTCCAGCACTCTTTTAAAACCATCCCAGTTGGTGGCCATTGCTGCCTCCTGTGGGAGGGAGTTCCATAGATTAACTCTGTGCCACGTGAAGAACTTTATCTGTCCTGAATCTTCCAAGCTCTTCAGCTTCATGGAATGTCCACGAGTTCAGGTGTTGCAAGAGGAGGAGAAAAACTTATCACTAGCCTGCCATGAATAATTTTAGAATCTCCTATCATGTCACCTTTTCTCTCAGCTAAAAAAAAGTCTCAAAAGCTGCAACTTTTCCACTTAGGGGAGTCACTTGGCAGAATTTTGGCTTTTCCCCCCATTTATCTTTTTAGCCTGCAATTTCTTCTTGCGCAGGGGAAACCAGGAGGAGGCCTGAGCAAGGCTGCAGTCCTCAGCAGCGTGGAACTGCCATCCCTCCACTTCCTGTGTCTCTTGGAAGGAGGGGAAAGTGGAGTAAGGTGGCCAGGTTGTTTGAGGCCAGCTCGCTAATTTAGAATCCTTTTGCGCTTGCTTTAAAAACAAAAGCCGCTTCAATGAGACTTTGCTTTGGAGCAAGTGGCTTCTGGATGGCTGAGCAAATCTGCACTCTGGCTCATAAATCCCACTTCTGACTACCGGCCGTGGCTAATTTAGTGTGGCAGGCAAATAGCCTCCTGCTCACAAATCATGGGAGGCCATGCACAGCGACACCAGTTAACCCCCAGAGTTAGTTAGGACTGATTGAACAGGAAGGCTTGGAATGAGCCCGGCCGATGAACTAGGAACTTAAGATACTGCATCGTTCAGTCTCAGGAAAACACCAGCCCTACCTGGGACGCAGGTGGCGCTATGGTCTAAACCACAGAGCCTAGGGCTTGCCGATCAGAAGGTCGGCAGTTTGAATCCCCGCGACGGGGTGAGCTCCCGTTGCTCGGTCCCAGCTCCTGCCCACCTAGCAGTTCGAAAGCATGTCAAGTGCAAGTAGATAAATAGGTACTGCTCTGGTGGGAAGGTAAAATGGCATTTCTGTGCGCTGCTCTGGTTCGCCAGAAGCGGCTTAGTCATGCTGGCCACATGCTGTCTGCAGACAAACGCCGGCTCCCTCGGCCTTTAGAGCGAGATGAGCGTGCAACCCCAGAGTCGTCCGCGACTGGACCTAACAGTCAGGGGTACCTTTACCTTTACCTGGAGATGCCAGGGATCAAGCATGAGACCTTTGGAATGCAAAGCAGGGGCTCCAGAGCTGAGCGATGGTCCTTTCCCTAAAAAATTAAAACAAAACAAAACACTCTCCTATGAGGAATGGTTGCAGCGTTTGGGACTTTTTAGAAAAGGTGCGCGGGATGGTAGAAGTATATCCAGTTTTGCAAGGCATGGATAAAGTAGATAGGGCAAAGTTTTCCTCCCTCTCTCTCGTAGCACTAGAACTCCTGGCTATCCAGTGGAGCTGAACATGGGAAGATTCAGGGCAGAGAAAATTCAGTGCAGAGTCAATCCACGGAACTCACTCCCGTGATGGAACTCGCTCACCTCCCTAGATGGCTTTAAAAGAGGGTCAGACAGATTCATGGAGACTATCCATGGCTGTACTCTTTTTCCACAGACTCCGGATGCCAGCTTGGCAATTGACAGTGGGCTCAAACCACCAACCTTCTGATTAACAGCTAGACGCACCAACCCCTTGTGCTGCTGGAGGCTGCTATAATTAAATAAGAACATAAGAAGAGCCGGATGGATCAGGCCAAAGGGGACCGTCTAGTCCTGTTCGCACAGCAGCTAACTAGAGGCCCCGAAGGGAAACCCACAAATGGGACCCGAGCATCATAGGAGTCCCCCACAGATCTCCACATTGGTCACAACTGGACCCGTGCCAGTCGCAAAATGCGCCCGGCCAATTTCTTAATACTATTTGCAACTCCCTCCTTAGAGAAGCCAGACTGGCAGCTATTTGGTGAAGACTATTTTATTCTGACAAGCCTTCGGAAACTGACTGTACCCTTCTTCTTTTTTAAGGAAAGAACTTCTAGCAGTGATGTGCTGTTTTACTATTTGCTATTTACTATTTTAATAGATTTGTTTTTATGTCATTTTCATTCTACTATACCTTAATTGCTTTTTAACTATTATACTTCATATGCTTTTAGATTTCTGGGTTTTTCCGGTGTTTGTGAGTCCTGGTTCTGGGGGAAAGGCAGGATATAAATAAAATAATTATAATTATTCTGCAGAGTGGGGATTAGTACCTCCACGGAGAGTTGCCAACTGTTCAAACGACCAGTGTTTCTGTGCCCTTAGCCGCAGTACAGTGGTACCTTGGGTTAAGAACTTAATTCGTTCTGGAGGTCCGTTCTTAACCTGAAACTGTTCTTAACCCGAGGTACCATTTTAGCTAATGGGGCCTCCCGCTGCTGCCGTGCGATTTCTGTTCTCATCCTGAAGTAAAGTTCTTAACCCGAGGTACTATTTCTGGGTTAGCAGAGTCTGTAACCTGAAGCGTCTGTAACCCGAGGTACCACTGTATATTCTGCAGTGATGAGTACGTGAGGACATTTGACACAAGCCGCAGTAGCAAGCTGGGTGGGTGGGGGGCTAAAAAGTTGGCAACAGCACATCCTGCAGGTTGAGGTCAGGGGACACACAAAATTCCTTTGTTCTCAGACCTTTTGCTTTCTTCTTTTAAGGTGTGATGCAACAGCCCCACCCAGCCCTTCCCTCACTTCCTAGGAAGACCTTTGCTCACGAGATTGTTCACTAACTCCAGGTCATGGAATAATTTTAGGGAGCCACAAGGAGGGCACCTGGGCTGATGGGTGGGGAACTAACTGCTTGCAGACCCTGTAATAGGACCTGGTTCAGGACAGTATTTTAAATAGAGAGGGAGGCCCAGCCGGTGCTCCAGAGCTGTGGTTCATGTGGTTCATTTCCTCTTTGCAGCCAGCAATGCGAGGGTTTCTGGAAAGCATTTGAATGTCATACACAAATGCAGCTAATTTACACTGGGAAATTTTTCTGTCACCCTGGAGGGTGATCTAATTTCGACCTGTTTGTTTTGCTTGCATTTAGCAATCAAATCTAAAAATGTCAACACGGCCAAGCTTGCCTGATAGCGTATCTGAGGCTAGCATACATTTGCTCACAGAAACATATAATCATAGAATTGGAAGGTCCTCGAGAGGGGTCATCTAGTCCAACCCCCTTGCGACGGCGCTGACAATGAACTTACGAAATGGAAAAGCTGTCCACAGAAAAGAAAAGCAATCCTCGCTGTTTGCAGGACATACAACCCTTGGGCGCCTTAAATAAGAATTTAATGATTGTTTTGTTATTTCTATGCTGTTCACCTGACGGGGTTGCCCCGGCCACTCTGGGCGGCTTCCAGCAAAATATGAAAACACAATGAAACATCAAACATTAAAAACTTCCCTATATACAAGCCCCAAAGCTCAGCTCTTGGATTGCAACGCAAAGCTCAGGTCAAGCTATTTAAGGTGACCGGGGACCACCTGCATTTCCCAGCAATTGACAGAATGACGAATGACTACCCTTGTCCTTGCAGATTCCCAGCTCTCTCTCCCCCTCCCCACACTCACTGCTCTCTATATCATTTCTCCAGTCCCTCTAGGGGCACTCGAATGAAATCTACAAGAGCCATATATCAAATATTAGCAAAATCCTTATGTCATGCTGGGGGTGTAATAAGGCATACAGTTCCATCTTGGGTTTCCCAGCAAGATGCATAATTTATCCTCAACAAGCCTGGCTTCAAATTAATGGCAAATCTGATACTAAAGCCCTTCGCCTTGTCTTCCTCCACCCAGATTCCCCTCCTACCCGGAGACCTGGACATATTTATCAAAGCCGGGAGAAGCTCTCAAGAGAGCTCTCCGCTGGAATCGCAGACCCACTCAAAACAGCAAACGTTTGATCCCCATTGCTGGGCAAATTGACTTTATTGAGAGAGAGATACTTCATTAATGCCAAGTGGGTGGGCAGGAGGCAGACTCATCTTTTGAAATTATTATTATTATTATTATTTTTAAAAGATCGAAAACTGGAATGACTGAAGAAATAATCTCTCTCTCTCTCTCTCTCTCACTCACACACACACACTTTATTTTTAGCATTGCATCTTCTTGATTCTTAGGAGGGGCTTAAATATAAAGGGCAAGGAGGTAGCATTTATTTGGCAGACTGATAGAGGGGTAATATCTGCCACTTTGCCCAGGGTCCCTCAGCAAGACAGAACCTTCTGTGTAGAGACAGATGGAGAGGGGGGTCCTGTTTCTGTTTAAAATTTCAGGCCTGGATGTTTGGGGATGTGGAGACAAAAGAGATTGCTCAAAATTAGTGTGAGTTGTGGGGGGTTGCTTCCACTTTGGTTACATAACAGTCAGTAGGGAAGTGAGCCCAAAGCCAGCCTTAATGAGCGAATGGATTCGTTGTGGTTTTCAGAAGCAAGGCAGAAAGGGTGCCTTTGCATAGCCAAGATATCAGTAATATTCCCCCCCACCCCAGTCTTCCTGAACAGGTGTTGTGGGGGTGATGTGAAAGGAAAGGAGGCGGAAGGCATGACTGGATTGGAATACTTTTAATTTATTTTTTAAAACCCGCTAGAAATAGCCCCACTTCTGAACTGGGAAATCAGGAAAGGATGGAGGTAGCTCTGAAGCTTGCCCAGTCCACACGCAAAGCGAGGGTGCATTTTGCTCCAGGGTGTCGCTGGCAAATTTAGAGTCTGTTAAACCCGCAGGGAAGAAGGTGGGAGAATCTGGCGCTACTGGGGTCCCTCCTTTTCTTTCCGTGTCTTCGAGACCCCCGTGCTTTTAGCATTTGGAGATCGGGGATGGGTGGGGGAAAGGAGGGAATCACCCCCCTGATTTTGGTAGGGATTTTCTTCAAGGAAACCAGGGACCTGGTTCCTTCAAATATCCAGCAGCCTGCTGGGTCTGAGGTCCCCCCCAATCCTAAATTAAAGGAAGCCCTTACACCCCAAAAAAGATATTCTCATTTTGTCACACTTTCGACCCCCATGGAAAAGCAACATGCTTTTGTCACACTTTCAACCCGGATGCAAAAATTACATGATTTTCTCACACTTTCAGCCCTGGCGCAAAATAACCCTGGGCAGTTCCCCCCACCCCACCCTGACTCTCTTAATGCTCACGAGCCCCCAAACTCCCTGCCCGCCCTCCTCCCCAACAGATGCCCACCTGGTTGAAGAAAGGTATTTAAAATTAAAATCCTATTTTATTTGGTAAAACAAAAAACCCGAGGATCAAAGTTTGCATCCCACAGCCCAGGGGAAACGCAGGCACCGCTGCACACCTGCATGGAACCCAAACAGCTCTGCTGGAAAAGGTACCTGGCTGCATCCTCCGGTGGTCTTCTATGTGGTCCACCACCACCCTGGCGGGGGCTGGCGAGGCGAGGCTCCTCACCCGGGCTGCATGCTTCTGCTGCGCTCTCGGAAGGAGGAGGAGGAGGAAGAGAGAGGGGGAGCCACGGAGCAGGGGGGCTCTGGCGATCTCTCCCGTCTCCTCTGCACGCCGAACACGTGTCCTGCTGCTGCTGCTGCTGCTCTCTGGCGCTGTGTTATTTCGGTGCCTGGGAATGATGCTAACCCCCCTCTGCTGCTTCGGGGATGGAGCGAAAGGGCCAATCGTTACCAAGCCATCTCCAAAGATCATCCAGTTCCTTTAAGATTTGGGGGGGGGGCGCGCGCGGCGGAGGCGTCTATCTCTCCATCCATCTATCCTACCAACCAACCATTCTGAGGTTCGCAAGGCTGGATGGCGGATTCTGCTATTTTTAACCCTCTTACCTATCAAAAGCAAGGGAGAGGACCCCCCCATTAAAATATACACTGCACCACATTTTTGGGGTGGGGGTGGGGAGATCGTCTCTTAAAGGTTCGCTGCTAGCCAACACTTATAAATTTGGTTCTGTCTGCCAGGGTTAGTGTCCACCCCACCCCACACCCCACCCCTTACAGTAATTTTGGGGCGTTTTCTCCCAAAAATCTTTTTTGCACGTTGTTGGTGAGTCGCAGTACAGGTTTAGGCCAGGTGGCATTAATTCTGCAATAAAAGAGCAGGTCATTTATTTCTTTGTAGTCTTGACTGTCGCGTCTTTCATGTTGGCACTGGGAAATTAATTATAATAATCACAGAGGCAGTGTGGTGTAGTGGTTAGAGCGTTGGACTGCTAGGAGCTGGGAGAGACCGGGGTTTGAATTGCCAGTCAACCATGAAGCTCACTGGGTGTGACCTGGGGGGGGGTCAGTTGCTGCCTCTCAGCCAAGGCTGCCTTGCAGGGCTGTTGTTATGAGGGTTAAATGAGGAGGAGGAGAACCACCTTGAAGTGGGGTATAAATGCGAGAACATTTAAAAATGCAAAATAGAAAAATAAGGTCTCTTTCCCCACAAATATGAAAGTACACTGTATTTTTTTAATGACTGCAACATGCCGTGTATTTATTTCCTCCCCCCAAAACCCCTCTTTATTGACTTAGGGAAGATCTTTTTGTATTCTGAACAGAGGGTAAAGTTTATTCTGAATTTGTTAAGTAAGATACCTGATGGCGACAATCAAGTGAAAATCACACATAGGTTGTCTGATTCTGACAAATTTGTGACAGGCAAAGTTGTGAGATTTGCAGTGGCTGCCTGAAAGCCAAGAGGAAATTTTACTGGGGTCAATATGGTGGATGGCAAATAATTAATTGGATGATTTTAATGCATTGGTTCTTTTAACTTATTAAATTGTTTTTAAGTGTGTGTGTGATGTTTTAATGTCTATATATTTTTTGCTAAATGCCGTTCTTTAATATTGTATTGGATGGTTGAAATAACAATAAAACTGCACAGACTTAGGGCAAAGCCATACCCTACATTTAAAGTGCATCCAATGCACATTTAAAGCACACAATACCCCCCCCCAAGAATCCTGGGAAATGTAGTTTCACCCTCACAGAGCTGGAGTTCCCAGCACCCTGAACAAACTACAGTTCCCAGTATTCTTTGGGGAAACTCATGAACTTTAAATGTGCATTGGACGTGCTTTAAATGCATTGGTGTGGATCTGCCCTTAGATTGTTAGTCCATGGGGGTGGGGACAAACACAGAAGAACAAACTGGAAAACTACTGTAAGCTGCTTTGAACCCAAGGGATGAAACAAGATATAACCTATTTAATAAAGTAAAACTTAACTGGATTTGCTCAGATCTCCCTTTCCTTCCTGTCCCCTCTGCTGCCTCCCAAAGTGTCACCCTTTACATTTATTATTGATTGAAAACATTTATAACCTTGCAAAAGCTCCCAGAGCACCTTACAATGAAAACAACACAGACTCTGTCCTAACCTCTAAAGAGCCACAACATAAAAGGAAAGTGGGGAGCGGACGGAAAAGGAAAGCAAGCCAACCCAGAAAGCCAAATGGTTGATGTTATAAGGCTGCAATTTCTTCAGGTCATGTATCTATTCAAGGTCTAGGTATGAATAATTTTTCTTTTTACTTCTCTGTGCTCTGTTCCTGGTGCTGTATTGTTTTATTTAAAAAGAGAGAGCGAGAGAGCGATGAATATGCTCCTCTCTTTCCTTTTCACAACAAACATGTGAGGATAGCACAGCTGAGAAAAGGTGGTCAGTCTAAGGGCTTTATGGCTGAGATTTGGGCCTGGACCCCTTCTCAGGCTGCCACCCGCTAAACCGTTGTGCCTTTGTCAGAACCCTTGGACAAAACATTCCCTGCTGCCTTCCTTAAGAATTAAAACACACAATATTCAAAGCACAATATTATATAATACTAAAAGCAAATAAAAATTGCAGCAATAAGGCGAGTCTTTTTAAGTGCTACATTCCCCCGCATACCCAGCAGATATAATTTCCCTCCCACCGGCAATGTCTGCTCCGATTATTGGGGGGGGGAATCTTTCCCCTCTTTTCTTAAAACTGCTGAGCAGAGCAGGTGTGGCAAAGTCCCATCCGCCAGGGCAGGGGTCTGCAACCCGCGGCTCCGGAGTCACATGTGGCTCTTTTACACCTTTGCCGCGGCTCCGGGGCGGATACTAGCGAGGGGAGGAGGCGCATTGTGCGCCCCGACACTCCCCACTGTGGCGGGCGCTGTACTGGCTGTGGCGTCACATGGGGGCGGTGTGTGCGTTAGTCACGCACCATCCCGACGTCACCTTCCCGCCCGCCCGCTACATTGTAAGGGGCATGTACTGCATTGAAAGGGGGCATGTACACTGGTCACTGTTTTGAAGGGGAGTGAAGAACACACACACACAAAAAGGTAACTTGTTAATTTAACGTTTATTTCTATGAGGAGGAGTAATTCTGAGGGGTCAAACAAAGAAATAATTAAAAAAAGTGACAAAAAAGTTATTTTTATAATGATGAGTTTTGCGGCTCCCAGTTTTTTTTCCTTTGGAAACGGGTCCAAGTGGCTCTTTTTGTCTTAAAGGTTGCAGACCCCTGCGCCAGGGGAATGCAAACCCACAGCACCAAGCTCTGCTCAGATACCAGCCTTTCTGTACCATACTCCTGTTTCTGCAGCATCAGAATTTCTATGTGCTGAGAGGGTCGATGAACCTTGAGGTCCCTTCCAACTTCCCAATGCTAGTGGCTCCCATCAGATGTCAAGGAAATAAACAAGTGCAGTATCTGACTTTTAGAAGACATCTGAAGGCAGCCCTGTTTAGGGAAGTTTTTAATGTTTGAAGTTTTATTCTGTTTTTAGTGTTCTGTTGGTAGCTGCCCAGAGTAGCTGGGGAAACCCAGCCTGATGGGCGGGGTACAAATAATAAAATTATTATTATTATTATTATACAGGTGCCATGCAAACATGGCAACATAGGAACCTAGGAAGCTGCCTTATATTGAGTCGGGCCACTGGTCCATTAAGCTCTGTACTGTCTACACAGACTGGCAGCAGCTCTCTATAGTGTCAGGTAGGGGCCTCTCCCAGTCCTACCTGTGGGGATTGAACCTGGGACCCTTTGTGTGAAAAGCAAATGCTCTTCCGCTGAGCTGCGGCCCTTCCCCAAAGCAACAGCAATGAAGCAGGCAGTGCCTGAAGGACTTCTGGCTGTTTAGTTTAACTTAGAGGAAAGGCAAGGACATGATAGAAGTTTTCAAAATGATACATGGCAAGGAGAAAATGGATAGAGGAAAGTTTTTCCTCCCTCTTTCATCATAACACTAGAACTCAATGGAGCTGAATGTTGGAAGATTCAGGACAGAGAAAAGAAATTATCTCTTTATACAGTGCATTGTTAAACTATGGAACTCACGGCCACAGGAAGAAGAAGAAGAGGAGTTTGGATTTGATATCCTGCCTTTCACTCCCTTTAAGGAGTCTCAAAGCGGCTAACATTCTCCTTTCCCTTCCTCCCCCACAACAAACACTCTGTGAGGTGAGTGGGGCTGAGAGACTTCAAAGAAGTGTGACTGGCCCAAGGTCACCCAGCAGCTGCATGTGGAGGAGCGGAGACGTGAACCCAGTTCACCAGATTGCGAGACTACCGCTCTTAACCACTATACCACACTGGCTCTCAGTAATGGCAACCAACTTGGATTGCTTTTAAAGAAGATTAAGCCGAGGGCCTTCTGGCAGTTCCTTCACTGCAAGAAGTGAAGCTACAGGGAACCAGGCAGAGGGCCTTCTCAGTAGTGGTGCCCGCCCTGTGGAACACCCTCTCATCAGACATCAAGGAAATAAACAACTATCCGACTTTTAGAAGACATCTGAAGGCAGCCCTGTTTAGTGAAGTTTTTAATGTTTGATGTTTTATTGTGTTTTTAATGTTCTGTTGGGAGCCACCCAGAGTGGCTGGGGAAACCTCAGCCAAATGGGTGGGGTATAAATAATAATAATAATAATAATAATAATAATAATAATAATAATAATAATAATTATTATTATTATTATACAAATTCATGGAGGAGAGGGCTATTGATGGCTACTAGCCAGGATGTCTATGCTCCGCCTCCACCATCAGAAGCAACAATGCTTTTGAATACCAGTTTCTTGAAAACCCAGGAGGGGAGAGTTGCTCTTGTGTTTGAATCCTGCTTGCAGGTTTCCCATTGGGGCATCTGGCTGGCCACTGGGAGCACAGGATCCCGGACTATATGGGCTCCCTTTGGCCTGATCCAGCAGGCTCTCCTTATGTTTTAATGCTCTTATGACATACGCTAGGCAGGGGAAATGAGGACTTGTGGGTTTGGAGGTGGCGGAGGGGCGAGTCCGTTGACCTCTGAGCGAATAATCTGAACGGGAGGGCTCAGCCCCAGAATATAATGTCAATGTTAGCCCGGAAACCTGTGAAGTAGCGAAAATCATAACAGCACTTGCCATATTTTTGCAGTGTCAAATGATATTTCAAACACATTATCTCTGCAACACCTAAGTGGCTCTCCACTCTGGGATGAAATTACTCTCCCTCTATTACTGATGCAGAGCCGAGGGACAATTATCTAGCTGGTGAAACTGTAACTCATTGAAATCCATAGGGTCTACTCACAAGGTAGTAACCCTCTGCTTGCCATGAAGTTCATCAGAGGAAATGTACAGCCCTC